ATATACTAAAATTGGAACAATACAGAGAAGATTAGCATGGCCCCTGCGCAAGGATGACACGCAAATTCGTGAAGCGTTCCAAATTTTTTTCTTTCTCTATCAATAAGCCATACTTAGTATGTTTTATTTCAACAAGCTGAACAAATTCTTTTAATTCGTTTCTCTTAAAAAAACCTTGATTTCAACTTATGATGTGTTTCTGAGTTGTTAATCATATGCATGTTTTTAATTGTACGGTTGAAAACGTATTATGCTGTCACCAGAAGCAGTATGTATAACTATGATTTCCAGTCACTCAAACTCATGTGTGGGAACATGTAATTTATCTAGATGGGTCTCAATCTATGAATGATTTTTCTCATATCAGCTTCACTTCATAAAGATCTGCGCAGCTATCAGACACTTTCTCAAGTCCATCTTCCGTTTCTTCAGTTTTATTCTTATGGTTTCAAAAACATACGAAGAAGCAGATAGTTTTGTACTTTCTGTCCGATGGATCAGCAACATATTCATTGTCATTGCCCTACCATTCCAGTGTATGCTCATACGAGTCTTATGGAAGAATCGTAAAATATCTGAATATACCTCACCATTTTACCTTGCTGTGCAAGTCAATTGTGTGTTTGTTTTTGTTGAAATATATTCACGATTTTTCTCAGGTTTTTTGAACGTACTTCAAACGCTGGCCAAGCTGTTCGTTGACGTTCCCGCTACTTCTGATGCCTTGCGCGAAAGTTATGCGGAAAACGCCAACATTGGTAAGAAAAGTTTTGATAGAAGCAATCTGGTCCCTATTTCAGTTGGGAAATTAATAAACTTCAGAGCTTTCTATATATCAATGATTATCGTTAGCAATTTGGCATATATAACTATCAATAGGCTTGTTGTCATTTTACATGTTGACACTTATCGAAAAGTTTATAACATTTTCAATTCTTGTTCTAAAACATACTTCATTCAAGAAGCCAGTGTTAAGATCAACAATAAAAAAATTATTTTTCATCTGGCTTTTCTGGAGCATACTCTGTCTACCGATGATTTGGCCAATTGAATACAGAGCACTCCGTTTGGATGCCATTGATTATAACTATCAAATTATCCCTTCTCAAAGGGTGATTCAAAGGTTTTATCTGATGTCTTCTATTGTTCACACGTTTTCTGTCCTAATATTAACATATGTAGCTTACATAGTGATTGGAATAAAGCTATATAAGGTTAAGAAGGCAATTTTCTTTGTTTAAAGCTACTACTCTAGACAAAGAATTCCGGTCTGAAAAAAACTGTGTTAAATGCGACATTGGCTGCACTATTGATGTCGTTAGGTCATTTATTCAAAGTTACTCATGTAATTAGTGTACACTTTCAGGAATGATACTATGCATCGGTATTGTTGCAGCTGATTATATTGCCTCTTTCTTCGGTCATTATTTTCTCACTCAGAACTATTACCAAATGGTTTTCAATCTTGGAATAGATTTTAATGTATTCATCACTCCTATCTCAGTAATAGCATTAACGACTGATGTAATATCGAAGAAATGTAAATTTCCAATAACATTTATCGTTCATTTAGGTGCGAAAAAGGATATTCGGTTCAAAAAAGCCAAAAGCGTCAACGTCTGCCAATATGGCAACTATATATTCGAATAAGAGAAAAGCTGTTTCAAACAACCGTTTTTGATTCAATGAATAGAGAATTTTTGTTGTCAGTATTGATTCACGTGCCACGTGATGGAAGTCATTGAAGCCATTTTTATGTTTTTAACAGACAGAACGGTTGCACTTGCGCAATTAATTCGAATAATTTCAAGAGGAAGAAATAAAAATTTAATTAATATATAAATGGAATAATTACTGTTTCCTTAAAATTATTAAATTGATCTTTTCCCCCATTCCATTCACTAGTGCCATCTCAACATCTTTGGGCTCAAGAGATGAAATGATTGACGAGAAAAAGCTTTTTTATTACTATATTTTCTACTAAATCCTATATCTCTTTTCAAAAAGTTGTTTCCATTTCTAATAATATTATAATTAGCCTTTTTTTGTTTAGTTTGGTTAATCAGAGTTTTAGTGTTTAAACTGTTGTTCTCAACTTCTTTGCTACATGTTCCATATAACTTATTATGAAAGATATGCAAAAAGAAAGAAATTCTTTCGAGTTCTTTTGCTTGTGAACTTAATATTTATTGTCTATTTGTTACTACATCTGCCTGCGGATGGATGCTGAATAAGGTCAACAAAATGTAGTTGGTAGGTGGATTAAGCTATTATGCTTGGAGCATAGGCGATAAGCTTGTAAACCGATCCGGATCACCTGTTACTTGCTTTGCGGCTCTCGTGTCTGTCATTGAGATGTCGAGGAAGACCTTTAAAAGAAAACTGAAACGATCAGTCTAAAATCTGAGAAATATTTTGAGCATATAAGTTTCCATCAGCAAGATCAACAAGGCTAACATGAATAGTGAATGAACAAAAAAAAACTTTTCCTGTTATTCTTCATTTTTTCCAGAGTGACGAGATTCTTCTCATTTCTTTCTATTTTGAGATTTCAGTTCGTGGTTGCATTTCCTTATTAATTGAACCTGATAGACTTTAAAAATAGTTTTGCTCTCTATCCAACTCCTTGACTCCGCCTTTGAGTAAGAGGTTGAGAAAAGTAATATGAAGGAACAAGTGAAAAAGATACGGAATGCTAAGAATAAAGAGTACAGGAAACCACGAGACAAGTAGTTATCTAAAATGGAAATTGTGATGAGAGGTTGAATAAAGATATTAAGAGAGAATAAGATACCAAAAGCGAAGAATTAGAGGGAATGAATGAAAGGGAGAGAGATGCAATAGACAAAGTGGACGAGAGAAGAGGTGTCGAAATTGGAGAGACATGACAGAGAGATGTAAACCGAAATCATTACCGTATGCCATGTGAGAGGCTCCAGCTTCAAACTATATAAATAATTCAGAACATAGCTTCTCAGATTCTCTGTGTAGAAGGGCTGAAAATCCGTCTGTCCAGCACCTTACCTCGTACTCTTCCAGAATATGTGAAAAACTAAAAGAAAAAGTTAATTTTTTATCACCCTCTGTTTTATATTACTCCATTATGATCTCTTCATTGATAAACAGTGAGCTTACTTGATTTGATGACTTATTTCTAGAAATATAAAAACTTATGTCAGATTTTTCTTATCATGTGCTTATTCAGGATATCTCATTACTTTTGTTTCAATCAATTCCATTTCTCATGATGTTCGTTCATTAAGTGTGGGGGATTACGGTAGTTTAAAATAACCTTTGCTTGAACTAAATGATGAATATGCTTTTTCTTTATTGATGAACAAAAAAGAGATTAAAAAAATGAAAGTAAATGAGCTATTGCTTCTTTTCATCACCATCAACCTGTAACCAACGTACTAGTTGATATTACAGAAAAAAACAAAAATCATTTGTCACTAACGCTTACTATAGAAGGGTTGTCTTTAATACGTATGTTTCTTTCGAAATAATAGCCTTTATTATATTTTAATTAAAAAACACAGCTTTTACAAGAGGCAGCTGGCGAAGAGTTTATCAATGAGTTCCTGCTGAGTTGGCGACCTCAATTCACTTCAGCGATGATGAGCATGCTACATTAAATTCATTGCGTCATCTTAAGGAACAGTCCCGAAATTAGATGTTTATGACCTTTTTGGCAGGATGTATGAAAGATTTAACGTTTTTGACCTAACCAGCCAAACATCAATGGCACTTCTAATACAAACGTGGTGCGGAGGATGGCTTTTTGGATTTTATAAATTATGAAAAAAAGAAGAGAATGATCAGAATGTAGATGAACAGTTCAGAGTAGTAGAAAGAATTGAAAGGGTGGAGACTTACTTACTAAATAGCATTGACAAATGAGATCGCATGTCTGAGAGTTAAAGATAAAGACAAAAAGGTTATATATATATAGAGAGAGAGAGCAGGAGAAGAGCAGATGCGAAAGATTCAAAGGATATGATGGTGGGAGGAGGGAGGCGAAATACACAATTGAAAACCTCGTAACAACTTTTGCAGTTCTCATGCGTCGATGTACCCATTGCTGGGTATCTGGCTTGATCCTCTCATAAGCCAGGTTATCTACTTGACAGTCTATCTCTTGCTAAAAAACGAGATAAGCTGTAGTGAGATGTGATTCGTTGGCGAGGGAGATATAGAGAGAGAGATTGAGAGAATGAGTGAATGAGAAAGAGAAAAAAAGAGTAGTTGTAGTTTTAACACGAAGAAGAGGAATTACATGAAATCTGAACAGTTTTTATCTCGTGAGGCAGAACTGTTAAATCCCTTCTTGCCGTTCCTCTCTCCTAGTGTTTCTCTCTCTCCCTGTTCTATCTCTCTCTCTCTCTCTCTTTTACGCACATCATTCAATGATTTCTCGCATATGATGTGACAATGCCTTCAATATATCATATAATATATTATTTAACTATCTTAACTATAATAAGAAATAGTGTTTTGTGTTTTTGTTCCAACTATTTTTTACATCTCTCATGATAAAGCCCTGTAATGCTCATGAATCAAGGCTTCATATTAAGCACAAGCATTCATGTAGAAAGGAAACTTCTTCATTGCTTTTTCAAAAACATTCTTCCTTCCTCTCGTATTTGTTTTTAAGATTCGGTAAAGAAGTTTCTGTTCGAAAATCTGTAAAAACTTTTTTTTATTTTTGCTCATCTTTTTTTTCTATCTCTTTCTTTTTATTGCTCCATCTCTATTTCAATATTCCTCCTTGCAATAGTCGAAGCTACTTCTTTTGGCTATATTTCTATGACTCTCATTTTCTCCGTACTTTTCGTTTTACAGAATGATGCTATATGTGGCGGATGACATGGATAATTCGTCATTACCTGATCCTATGTCATCTTCCATAGACGTTAATGTTCCTTCGGATAGCTCAAACCCCAGTACATCCCCAGAATCTATTGTACAACACTTGTACTCTAATGGAGGTGAGCTTTAACATTGATCATACTAATATGATTTAATATTTCTTATCATCTCATAATGTATTCGCGAACTATGACCCTGACTAAACTTGCTGAGATTTTGCTTCACTTAGTTTTCTTCCAGCTGTATGAAGAATTGTAGATCGTATTGATTAGAGCAATCTGTAGACTATCTCAAAAATTCCTTTTTTTGTACAACCAGGCAGAATAATGTGTTTATGATAATCCCACAACGATCAGGGCGACACCAGCCAACCCAAGCGGGTTTGTTATTCTCGTTTCCGCTTGTCTTCATTGTTTTGCGTCGAAAAAAGCTACAGTATTCTCGTTTGACGGAGTCTCAGTAGCTCTACATATAGCGCCTCAGGGGCAAAATGCAGCCGAAGCAGCAACAAGAAGCACAGATATGAGAGAGTTAAAAAGCGAAAGATGAAAAGATAGAAAAGAGATATAAATGAAATGATGTAGAAAAAGAAAAAAAAGAAAAGGTGTTGTATAGAGAAGTCGAGTCGGCTGACAAAAGAAGATACTAAATTAGCATAATTTAATCAATATCAGTCATATACCACCTTTGTATGTTTTAATAACTATATCCTTTTCTTTATTGCATGTCCTATTCCGTTGCATCTTACTATTTTAGATTAACAACGAACTACAACATAAAATGCTCTATGATAAACTGGAGCGCTTCTCCAGTTGATTTATCCAATTATTACATGGATTTTAATATAAAGCTAAATCATGGGAGAAACTGCAAGTGAGAAGAATCATTTTTCTTTTCGAGCGTCTTGGTTGAGATTCTCTTATTCTAACAAACTCGTACTTCATATGAAGCTGATCCCTCCCTTCTTGCTCACCAAATGATCGTATTTCGCACATGCTGGAATCGTTTTCCAAATTTTACTTTTTCTCAGTTTACTTCACAGCTTGTTCTTCCTCTCTACTACATTTCTGAAATGTGCTCCATAAAATTGTGAAGAGGTCATCACTGAGTTGGCAGAAGCTGAGCCATCTGAAGTTTTATGACTTAACAGACTGTAAAAGCTTTTCAATAGAATCATCGAGAAAGTGAACAATAATCAGAACTCGGCGGTTTAGTGCAAATAAAATTCAAACGTACCGCGCCAATATGCTAATTCGAAGCGGCAATCATAAGACTCTGTCACTTTCACGTATAAACGAGTTAATTTCTGAGAAGAATCAGGCAGTTGCGGTTGTGTTAAATAGATCATTACAACAACAAAGTTTGTTATTTTAAAAAATTTAGTTTTTTCAGAATTCTGTCGCCTATGTAGCCATGTGATTAATGAAAGGTTAACTTTCTACATTGATAGTCTTCCTTATCATTCTCATTGTCTCCGATGTGCAGTTTGCTATTTGGAACTTGGCTTAACCGACCATGACGTGAACACGCCATGTGAGTGTACGTTTCACATTTTTTGACGCAGTATTTCAATTACTAAATTTAAGGTGAACTCAAATGTTTTATGAAAGATGGTCTACTCATGTGTAAAGCATGCTATAATATGTAAGTGTGTTGTTGCTTTTCTTAAAATGGTTGATAGAGATCCAACGTTGATCTGTTTAGGAAGTATAAAAAAGCTTGTGGACGTTGCAATTTGATTCTGATGCCGGAAGACATCGTTATGAGAGCAAAAGACTCCATCTTCCATATGAGCTGCTTCACTTGCTCCGTAATTTTCTCATTTTCATCAGCTGGGGGTGAAACTATTATTGCAGGTGTGTGGGATGAATATGCGACCTGGGGAAGTTTTTGGTATGAGTGCTATGAATGAACTCTTTTGTGCAAGTAAGTTTTATATCGTGCAATTTAAGCGAACTCTTATATCCATAGGTCATAATGTTACTTTCCCGCCATATACACCGTTACCTCCGCCTGATACTTCAACCACTGTTCTTTCGGATACAGTTGTTCCTGTCGTAACTAAAAGGGAGATGTCTGAGGAACAAGAAAGTGAGTTTTTTCATATAGAAAACATTTTTTGTTGTCATTTTTTACATTTTTTTCATTTTATAAAACCTAAGAAAGGTTTCATGTAAAAGTTAGTTCTACGAAAGGTTATTACAACTTTCCAACTCTAGCCTTCTATTGCCACAAATCTTTCACGTTCTCAATTGCCTTTGTCAGGGATTCCTGCTATTCAATGTTTTTCCTCTTTCTTCAATCAAACACATCTCATTAAAAATTACAGTATACTCTCAACTTCTCCGGCAAATCTATCTTCTTCTTTCTCTATTCGTTCCCATTAGGTCAAGTTGAATAACCGGAAATCAAAAAGAGCGTGCTTAAGAAAACAGGAACATGCTTTATAAGGTTTTCTTTTTGTCGGCAGATTACTGTCAGAAGCAGATTGAACTTGCCATATTTTCGCTTTCTAGCATAGTTCTAATAATACGTATTATGAAAAGGAATTCGATTAGTTTATAAATATGAATTTATCTAATCTTTGTGAACAGTGTTTATGCGAAAGATAAAAGCTCACTAATAGACACATCGTTTTACATCCAATTAAAAAACAATTAGTCATCTATCCAGCTTTTAGCCACTAATCCCATCTCATTAACACAGGTGCATGACCACAAGCTCTAAATATAAGCCGGAGGGTTCATAATTAACATATGCTTGTCTTATGGTCATTATCGCTTATTTTATTGAATTATTTCAGTCATAGATGAGGGATCTCGATCAAATAATAGTCGTTCTAAACGGATGAGAACAAGCTTCAAGCATCACCAGCTGAAAACTATGAAAGTATACTTCAATTTGAACCATAACCCCGACGCCAAAGATCTGAAACAATTAGCTCAAAAAACTGGATTAACCAAGAGAGTTTTACAGGCAAGTTATAATTTATTAACTATCTCTTAGATAAACCTTTCTCAATCTAATGAACCGATTGTTCTGCAGGTGTGGTTTCAAAATGCTCGAGCCAAGTATCGGCGCTCTATGCAGTCACGAGACGCGCAAAACCATTCACCGTCGATGTTACCGTCCTTGGGTACATCAATTGGCAACAGTTCAGAGGTGATCACGACTGATGAGAAACGAAAAAATTAGTCATATTCAGACTCATTCAGCCACATGTAGCACACATTCTTCGGACATGTCAACATCACCCGAGTATGGATGTGCGCCATCGAATTAATATATAACGTATATATAAATGTAACTTGACGAGAATCATAGCAGCAACCTAGTCAAACGATCTCAAATTTGTGCATAAGAAGGAAATTAAATCATTTATTTATACAAAATTCTCATTTTAACCGTTAAACAATAATTTTGAAATTCTAAATAATAGATTCATGCGAGATAAGTGATCATTGATAAGTATTTTGATTGTAAAACTTTGAAATATGTCAAACCTGACGAATGTTCATCTTCTGTTTTAATAAACAAATGGTATTATGGCCTTTCTGTTTTTCGGATAGTCTTCAAACTTCTCCAAATAATACCTTAAACAAAAACTTTTACTTCCGTGTTCCCTTATGTTAGAAAACCTATGATGCTGGATGGCACGTGGGCCGATGTTCGATATGGTAAATATGGCAAAAGCAACTGATGGTAAAGATCTTGCTACAAGAGCAAAACCAAGCCATTCAACGATTTCGCCAAAGTAATTGGCCCCAGAGACATATTCAAACAGTCCACCTAAAAACATTTTGCGAAACTTTTCAGAAACAATTGCATACCACGTGGGATTTTGTATCCTAATTCTCCTGGCTTTCTGAGATTTCGCAAAATAGAATCCGATTGAATGTTAATGATCATTCCTAAAAAGAAGACAGCAGTTCCTAGAACATATCATCATTTTGGTTGCGGATTGAGAAAGTTTAACCTATGTAAGTCAGAGGGTTAGAGAAGAAGTTTGTTGACTTGAAAAAAAGTGCATGCCAAGATCCCTGCATATATCCATTGTAAGTGCAAAAAAGAACGGCTGCGAAAAATATGTGCAGCGGAGATCCCTTGCTAGAAGTTACTACAATCGGATAATAGATAGATCTGAAAATGAGATGAACCACTTGAGAAATAACTGTTTTACCTTTGAGCGTAATGAATTATGAACAACATCAGAACAAAACGCCCGTCATAACTATTGCAGGAGAGAAAATAGTAAGTGGGTATGAGAAATGATGGGCATTCTTGCAAAAGCCAAGCGAGTTTGGCAGGGATTTCCAACTAAGGTTGAGTAATATGAGATATTCGAATAATACTCACTTTGACTGTAGAATCATAACGTCCATAGCCAGCCCTGAAACCACTACCCAGTAAAACAAAGCACGCAAATCCAGAAGCTATCATGATATATGCCAGAAGCTGTACGAAAAACGGCTCGTCCATCATATTTTCTAAAGAAATAATGAAAAAGACAAGTCACAACAGTTCAGGCACAACCACGGACTTCAAACTTAGAGGTCATTCAAAATAAAGGAGACAGGATACAAAAAAAGTTTTATTAATCCGAAAACAGAGCAAAAAGTGAACAACACAACTCGATGAAGTCTCCACAAACTAATCATCAAAAATTAATCCAGAAATTTTTCTCAAATTCAACAAGAGCGACGTAACAGACCGGTTAATACAATAGACGGTGGGTGTTAGTTAAGTAAGCTACTCGGCAAAAGGGGCAGACTTAATGATTATATAGCCTCTGATAACTGATAACAAAACAGAAATCGAACAACCGATGAGATTTCCAACTGATATCATTCTGAGACAAGTTTCTACCCGCAGTGCAAAAGCCAAAGAAAAGAGACCTTTTTGCAATATTGATGCCGTTAGATCGTATGCTATTAGACCAGAAAAATGATCACAATGACCACAAATAATACCTGCATTACCAAAAAGCAGGTTGTACCTATAAGGAGGGAAAAGTGGCGATACAATAGATCATGATTAGATACACAAGCTCAAAAAACTTGGGCTTATGGAAAACGGATAATATACACATCGTGCTTGGTCTCACACTTAAAGAAATTTGCAACTTAGAGTCATCAAAAACAATGACAAAACATAAACGAACAGCTCATGTGTACATGAAATATTGCCTATAAAAAAATATGCAATACGTAATCCGCCTATGAAGTGGTTAAGTATTTAGGGTGATACGCGTCGCAACTGTACAGGAATTCGAACAAATTACGTTCACTCACTTAAAGCTCTGCGATTAGTTACTAAAAAAGAAAGGCCTTACGGAGAGGGAGAAAAAGAAGAGATTTACCCAGAGACCTCAATTACACTGACACTAAACAAAGAAAAAAAACAAAACCTGGGTCATTGGGCCATGTGAGATTATGTATGGACATGCCACAATTACAGCTTTAAAGAATACTTTCCATTTAACACGACAATTTTTTTAAATTACACCTAATTAAGATTATTAGGTTGCCATTGACCGAACTGTCTCATGTTCTGAGGCATTGGCGAATTTTGAAAGTTTGGTCCCATTTGGGCAAAAGTGTTAGGAGCTTGTGGATAGAAGTTTGTAGTCATCATTCCTCCACCAAAACCTCCACCAGAGCTTCCGAATCCATCACCTTGAACATAATTAGTACATGAATTGAGTAAGAATTCAACCTCTTGTGTAGTTCACGTAATTGTTAGGATGATTTTGGAAGCCGGATTGTACGTTGTTGAAATTCCGTTGAACGTACGTTCTGTGCTGGTTAGGATGTGGTCCAGAATAACCATTGTATGAATGCTGTCCATTGTAGCCATTTTGGGCATGATAAGTTTGACTAAAAAAAAACTGAAGACTGAAGGAACAGCAGGACTTACTTATTGAAGTTGTTTCTTCCAGGTCCTCTACGATGATCAGTACCGCCGAACCTTCCCCGATTTCCTCGACCCAAAGGTTTTCCTTCTGAAGCAACTTTCTGGAGCCAATCAGGAACTTCTTTGTTAGCCTCAACAATCAGTTGAGCTAGGTCTCTACCCAGACTACGGTTCTGAACAACATACTTAACTACCAAACAGTTTCAGTTATAGTACCTTTTCATTGAAGAAGCTGGTGGCTCTTCCCGTGTTTCCACAGCGACCCGTACGACCAATTCTGTGTACGTATTCATCGATATCACCGGGAAGATCATAATTGACTACGTGTTTGACATTCGGTATGTCTAATCCACGAGCAGCAACCTGAAAGGAATAATGTCATAAGTGTATGAAACAATGTACATACCGCAGTGGCCACTAAAACAGTTGTTTGACCAGAACTAAACATTGCCAAGTTACGTTCACGGTCGAACTGCTTGAGATCTCCATGAATAGCTACGGCACTAAAAAATGAAAGCTATTATAGAGAATTAACCATCACAAACTGACCCTATTCCAGTTTTTTGGAGGTAGTAGGAAAGCTCATTCGCCCCTCTCTTCGTTTCCACAAAGACAAGAACCAAATTAGAACCTTCTGATATGTGCATAACATTACTCACTTAATATGCTAAATGCTTACCTTCCTGATCCAAAATGGTCATTAAAGCTTTTTTCTTATCATGCTCTTCGATCCATTCCAAATGCTGATCTATGTTATCTGATGTTGAACCTACACGACCGACAGCTAAGAAAACGTAGTTTTCTCTCAAGAAATCTTGAGCGAGCTCCTGTGGAGATTAACATTAAGAACAATTCAGAACAGAAAGATTATCATACCTGGATCGCCTTAGGGAAAGTGGCACTGAACATAGCAGTGATGCGATCGCTTTTATCGGGCATTTGTCCTTGTTGGACGATTTTTCTGATCTGCGGTTCGAATCCCATGTCCAACATTCTATCAGCTTCATCCAGAACAAGATAACGACAGGCTGATAATCCAACATAGCCCTAGAGCAACGAAATCTTTTGGGTTCAAAAATACGGAAAATACCTGTTCTAAAATGTCGATTAAACGACCAGGGGTTGCAATCAAGATATGGCACCCATTTTTCAAACGAGCAATTTGCTCGCGATAATTTTCTCTACCACCATACAAAATCGAAGTTACAATAGAAGTTCGGAAACTAAATTTAGTAGCTTCCTTATGGATTTGAATAGCTAGTTCACGAGTCGGGGAGAGAACTAAGGCATATGGATAATAACAACTTCTTCCATTGCCTTTAGAAGTGGGCTGAATGAGAATCAAGTTTACAGCGAGAATGAATGGAACTTACAGGCTTAAGAACCTCAGGACCCTTACTAAGAATGTGATTAATTATAGGTAAAAGAAATGCAGCAGTTTTCCCAGATCCAGTCTGAGCACAAGACATTAAATCAAGATTTCCCAATAAAGTGGGGATCGAATGTTTCTAAAACATAAACAATGAATGACAGAACGAATAAGAAGCTCAACCTGAACAGGAGTAGGTTTACTATAACCACTTTTATCTACATTAGCTTGAACAAGTTCGTGCAAATTAGCGTCTTCGAACTGCAAAGATAAAAAAAGCTCATTATGGTACATTTTTTCTGACAAACCATCTCGATAGGAACTGGAGCACCTTCTCCACTAACGTTAACAGGAATACTATCATAGTTATCAAAATTAATTCCACTATTAGGTACATGAAATAGTTTTCTGCAAATAATATAAAGAATTTGAAGTTTAGACATTTTTTACTTTTCAAGAGACTCTTTTCCATTTTTTTCACTCCAATCATTACCATCAACGATGTTGCTGGAACACACATAATAGAGAATTTTAATTAATATGAAAAACCTCGAAAAATTAGAGTTAATATGATTATGATGATAACCATTAGAGACATTTTTGTTGTAATTATTATGTGGACGGTATCCATTTTGCCTGCAAAGCATGATAAACAAGGATTCTACCTATATTACGCTACTTAGGATTTCCAGAGTTGAAATTGTTTCCCTGATCTTGATTATAGAAACGATTTCTCTGTTGCTGGACGTTTTGATAACCGTTTTGGTATCCTCCGTAAGCTGGATATCCATTATTAGGTGGTCCATTCGGCACGGCTGATACATTAATATGGCCGAAACTTTGGGGTCCACGATTCCACCTTCAAAATTGCCAATTAGTTAAGCTTATTTCATCGAACTCACTGATGTGGACCTGGATTGGGGTAAAACTGTGTTCCAGAATTCATTTTGATGGATTATTCTGAGTGGACACCAAAAGTTGAGAACCAAGTTTTACCACAAGAAAGAGAGTGTTCTCCGATAATTAAAAGGTTAAACACCTAGAAAAATTAAATAATATAATTGTCTCAAACATAACAAAATATCAATGTAGCAATAAAAGATATCCGAGCAACGAGCAAGTTTTAATTTCAAACATTAACCAAAAATGAAATGAAGAAACATGAAGACGAAAACTATCCTTTCAAATGGACAAAATAATTTGATTATCTATTATAATATAAAAAAATAAGAAATAAGACCAGAGGTATAAAAAAACATAAGGTAAAAGCTCCGTAATCGGAATATGCAGACAAGCAGGCACAACGCAGATACACAGAATAATCGCTGTTTGACCCATACGAACAGACCTTTAAAAAACACGACCATCACTTTTGATGCGACGTTAACTTTTCATTTTAAAGGCATACCGAACGGTTGTGTTTGAAAAACTTTGGAAAATTGTAGTTTAATGCAGTGTACACAAATGTAATCGCTGCCGTCATGAATGATTGAATCAAGCATGAAAGGTTGCAGAAAATAATTAAGGTTTTTGTAGTTTTCATTCCGTTTATCTTAATAAAAAAACTTTGTAATCCTGATCGTTGCGTTATGAACCAAGTCCTGAGTTTTATGTTTTCTTTGAATAGAGCAGATGAAGTATGAACAAGTTTATTTTATTACATAAAGAATACTATGGAGAACATGCGCAGATCATAGTATCTATCTTTTGTATTAGGCATTTTGTGAATATACATGGTTGAGAGGTCATGAGTAAATACAGTTCATCCTTTCTTACGCGTAGCGAAGTACAGAACATCCTCTAAAATTCCTTTTACTTTTGATGATATCGACTCTTTCCACTCCTGTTTTTCTTGCTCACTACATGATCTAGTTGCCGCTCGATAAACTTCGGGAACTGTGGCCACAAAGGCCATGGCGGCTAAGCAGAAAAATCGGCAGTACGAAACTTTTAGTTGCTCTATCGAGAAAATTTCTTTCCGCATGAATTGATTCAATGCATTGTGATATTGCTCAAGGAGACGTTCCCAATGCATACGACGATCTTCTGTGGACATGCAAGTGATGAAAAGTCTAGCTACGTCTTCTGCCACACATCCGTAATGACAAAGCTAAATTCATATGACTGGTTCATGGTTTGTACAGTGTATATACCTGCCAGTCAATGATTTTATGCAAGTCTCGATCGCCATTCTCGTTATTTTTCCAAAGTAAATTTGTACTATATAAATCACCTTGTACAAAAATTGCAGGCATACCTTTAAGTGGTGTTTTTTTAAAAGTAAAGAGAAAAAGTGAGTACCTAAGTCTATATGCTCTCGCTTAGCTATTCGAGTTGAGACCAACTTATCAATTTCTTGTTCTATTCTGCCAATAAGAGGTGTTAACGAAGAATCAATCTGACGAAGTTCATCAAGGCGGAATGATAGTACCTATTTAAGTAAATATTTTGTTTTTTTAGTAATGAGACTATGATGTCATACATCTGGGTTCAAAATATCTGCGTATAACTCTTCGTAAGCGTTTACTGTGAATAGTCGTTTGCGTTCGTCTGATACACCTTCCATTACAGCTTGAACTTCCGCTAATGATTCCAATGTCTTGAAGAGGAAAACATTTTCCCAAAAGAGGTGTGGTGTGGGTTATACCTTTTCGATTTCGCTCACTGTTAAGTTTTCGTATATATGTTTCACATGACAATTATCAGCATATTCCATACAAATGAAACCCACATCTCCAGATTCGTCTTCAAATTTACGAGAACAATACATGCGCGGTAAAAAGGGAGGAGCTTGAAGAGCCTGTATTGTCTCGTAAAATAAAATTTCATTATTATGCCACTAGAACGCAGAATGATTAGGTATGTATATATATAAATGAAAATCATACTTTTTTAAGTTTTTGTGCTTTTGATGTCCATGTGAGGCGGTCTCTTTTCATGCCTTCGATACTTTTTTTTGCTCCTGCCCGGTTATGCATAGCAACTGTGTTTAATAATGTTGTCAACTATAATGACGTTATTTTTATATATCTATTGTCTATGAATAAAAAAAATTTATTAACCTTAATTACGATTTGGTTTGGTAAGTTTTTATCAACATCGGACGGCCAGTTACATTGCAGTAGACCAACCCGAGAAAAGAAACCCTGTAAGTAAGTTTTGATAAGTTCTTAAACGAGATAAGAAACGTTTTCAATGTTGTTAACGTGATGGTAATATACTACCTGATCTTCTCCAATTCTTTTAATTGTTTTATTAGCTCCACATCTTTTACTTGTACCCAATGCACGCCGTATTCCTCGTTCTATGACATCCAATTCTACGCACGTTCCAAATAAGCCATCAGAAGGCTCTGATAAACTCATCTACAATCATGGATGGCAAACTAGTTAGAGAAAGAGAGGGTTAGCAGAAAAAGAAGAACTTCAGAAAACACAGAATTTCGATGACTTCCAAACTTGTAGTGTATGGATGGAGATATAAAAAGATTTTTTTTATAAGCAGTTTGTGGTTGTCTATATTTAATTCTGAAAAATGATAGAAGAATGAGAGATGCTTCGTAAAATATTCTTTTGATAAGAGAAGTTGAGATGAGAAAAAAAAACACAGACAGACAACCATTGTTTTTCTCGGCGAAGACTTCGAAAAACTGTCCAGAATCCAAATGAGACAAAACAGTAACGGCGTTCGTGATGATCACGACGACGACGGCAAGCAATCCACTCAAAGAGGAATCAAGCCCATCAACGTCCTCTATCGCTTTGAAGATGAAAAATATTTACTTCTTATGGACTGGAGACATGTAATTGTGTCATAGGTAGTGGGGGAGATAGAGGAACACATAGTAAAAGTGATGAAAGTGAAATGTGAAGAAAAGTCTGAGAGAAATAGAGAGGGAGAAAAGTAAAAAGTATAAGAGAGATGGAGAGAAAAAAAGAACAAGACAAAAAAAGTAATGATTAGAGAGTTGGGATGGATAGATACTGATAGAACTAGTCAGATTGCTTAATGGCATCTTAGCTTGCCTGTTAATAACAGATTTCGAACTCGTACTGTACTCTATATTTTCATTTTGTTGTAACCGTCTTGCCACCTAATCTTCTTTTTCTCTCTGTCTCTCATTACCAACTCTCAATATTGTTCTACCTCTCTCTCTCACCATCTCTCTCTGCATTGCTCTCTCTCTCTATCTCTCTCTCTTTATGTTTTTTCCTATTTTATTCTGTATCTGTTTTTGATTATTCACATGATCCAACCACTGTTTTTAGACAACATGCGATTGTAACTTATTGCTTAGCGAGAAATTCAGTGGTCCCATTAACTTTGAAAAGAAAATATGACAACTTGTTTGATTTCAATCTTTGATTATTTCGAAATTCCAAATATCATTCTATTTTTAAGTTATTGGGATATCATAGACAAGAAACTATACATAGAAAGCATTCATAATGAGTGAAATATCGATAATTAACTTTCAATGAGATTTCATAGCAACTGGTATGAATTTGTGAAGAAAATTTCTCAATAGGACATAGGTGGGAAGGTGGTTCTCACAAGTCAAGGATCATTTATCAGATATAATTGAGCTCATAAAAAAACAAACATCACATAAATATAGCAAGATTGATGGCATATCAATGTGTTAAGAGTAGAGTATCTAGCTTGGAGAAGTAGAGTGAGAGAGAAAGAGAGAGACGATGAGGGATAGATGAACAAGAAGTACACGTAGGATTTGTCCATCAAAACAGAAACACAGAAACACACAGCTGGCATAACCGGTATCTGACGATGGCAGAGTTCTTCCCCTAATATCTCGTGCTATTCAACCAAGTTGCCATGTGCCTTATGTGCTATACTATCCAACTCTCACTTTCGAACTCTCGCTGCCTCTCCCTGTTTCTCATTTTGATTCTTACGATCAAACCAAATTAATCCTGTTCGTTGTAGTGAAAAGAGAAACATCGATCATCCCTTCTTGCATTTCTTATTGCCACAGCCTGGGTTATGCCCTTGAAATTGATATGAAAAATTTAAGAAATGATCTGGCGGTCGGGAAAGCCCCAGGATGTCAGCTGGTCGAGATGCCAAAGCGAGTTTCAGAAGTATAATGTGAAGACCATCAATTAAATTTGATTGAGAGATGTGATATGCTTCTAAGCAGAAGGAAGAGAAAATTTTAAGCTACATATCTACATGACTTATCGAACGGAATGCATGGAAGCTCTGCCAGTGCAGTAAACCACGAAGCCGAAAAATCTGAAGAGTCGTCAAGAAGAATGGGAAGTTTCGTGAAAACGAAAGACATAACTCTCATAAAAAAAACGTATGCTAACAGGTTACACATCTCCTCTTTATATAGACATCAACATGAAAGTGTGTTTTAGTCGAGGTATTATTTTTTATTATTTTTCTTTTTTTGAAGTGTTATCCAATGAGTCGGTCAACCAGCTTCTCGACCTTCATATTCATCGCAATTATGGAAAAATAGTTAGCAATGTGAAAACACTTGACAGTTCGTTTCTTCAGTTCAAACAATTGAGTTAGTTAGTTTGCATTTCGAAGATGTGGAATAGCGGCAAAAAACGAAAAAACCGCTTACTCAATCTGCAACCAGTTAGGAATAACGTAAACACAACAACATTCTGCTTTCTAACTATTCTGGTACTGTTAGAAGTAGTTTTCTGGAAACATTTACGAGTCTGAAACGAAATCTGAGGGGGAGGGAAGAAAGCCTAAAAAACATTTTTGTAGAAGACGAATCTTTTTTTCTATCGTATTGTTGTTTTTCACAAAATATTCATGTGAAACACGTGAAACGTGAACTTGTAGTGTTTCATTCGGTCATTATGCAAACATGCAAAGCGGTTGTCATCTACTTTTGATTTATGCTATCACTCTTCTCTGAACCACCATTACGATAGTTTTATTCATATTTAGTACAATGTTCTACTTGCTAATTGCTTTCATCACTGACCATCCTTATATGAACTGCTAGGTTTCAAATAGGGTTCTTCGTTTGTTTCGGTTTTACTTTCAGCTGTAACTAAGGGTTCTAAAACTGGAGTGGCATATCCCATTATGAATCTAAATAATTCATTTTTAAGGGAAAGAAAATATTTAGTAATCTAACCTTCCGTTGATCTCTATTTTACAGACAAATGCTCCATAGAAATGAATTTTTTGAGAATAATCATCGAGACCAGTGACTACTTCAAATTTTCGGGAAAATCTATTTTAGAATTATAAGATAAAAGATGATAAGGATTAAATAACTTTTGCTGGCAAGCATTCTGAATATAATTAGTAATTTTATTGATATTACAATTATTAAAACGAGGCATATTTGCCAGTTCCTAAATAGAGAAGCTAATTGGATTTCATTAAAATATGGAGCTTACATAATATTTACTGATCATAAGTTGCTCCAACTCTCTGCTGCAACATACATAACCGGCTGTATTTACATAGCAAGGTGGAGGCAATCCTTTCCCCGGCTTTCCGATGGGCTTCATGGATGTTATAGAAGTTCCAGTACTATACTGAAAGTATTGATAAATTTATTAACTGTGTGAAATTAAGTAAAAGAACGAACGGATGGTCCGTGGATTCCTCGTGTGGATTTGCTTGAGCGAATAACTCGAGGTCCGCCGGAGTACTCGAACAATGTGGTGTTCATGTCCGACTGCTCTGCGAACCGGGATTGTTCATCAGCCAAAAACGGAATTTCAAAGCTTTTCCTCTGGAATAGTTAACACTTGTAAGAAAATCAAGTTAATAGTTTACCAGGCTAGCTGAATTATCCACTATAGGATGACTTTGGTAACAGTTAGTTCCAGCTATGAGCATGAGCAGTACTAATGAGAATGACCGCATCGTGAACAAATGATGTTCAGCAATTGTAAAGCTTGAGGATGAAACTAAGCAGAAATCTAGAAGTCACTCCAAACTGTTTTTATTACTTTTTTATAACAGTGAAGATGAAGATTGAGCAACTCATTAAAACCATTTACCAGTTCATATATCTTATCGTGAATCATATTTATACAATTAACTTATAGTTGAATGCTTCTAGCATCAAATGATGTGCTAAAAACCAGATATTTCGTTAAACATAATGAATTTCGAGATAAATTTCAACGATAGTCTGACTACGAACGACATAACAAAGCTAGTAGCGAAAGTATTGTCGGACAATGCAAACCGCATGAAGTTCAGGTTCAAGAAAGAAAGAAGTATTTCGGACAAAAAAACAAGATGATTTTCTAAAATAATTTATTAAACTATTAAATAGTATGCGAAATTTGGTATTATGACAGTTCGTAGAATATATGTTGTATAAAAAGATATGTTGCACACTACATCACATATTTTCTGTCCCCAAATTAAGAGATGTAATGAAAAACTTGATGGAAGTTGAAACTTTTGTAAATTCTGGAAGCAAACTTCAGATAGGAAAGCGTTTTGGTAATGACAGCCTCACTTTTAATGTGATGTTGGAATGACTCCAATCATTCGAACATCTCCCTGATGCAGTAGCAAATTGTAACCCGATTGCTTTCATTCTGCAGTATGGAAGGAAGTATAAACGGATATAGGAAACCTTACCTATCGAACTTTTTTCCTCCTAGAAAATCGAACTGTAATAATGGAGGAAGAACTTGACGTTCTCCTAGATGCCATCTCCAGTTTGCTATTATTCTAAATTACCAAGACGTTAGGTGAAGTTTAATGCTCCTCTCTTTGGTTACTTATAGGGAATCTCACCACAGTCCACATCGGCAAACCGTTTGGCACATAAGCTCCCCATTATGTTATTATCTGTTGCATATAAGCCTCTATGAGTTTCACAGTACATGTTTCTTCAATTAAAACTTTCTGGCGTACCGCAGAACAATAGAGAGTTGGAGAAAATATTCATGAGACTTCTCATTAGACCGAATGTAGAAATTACCACCTCCAATCATATCGGCTAACAATCCATACTCGCCTTCTTTATCAAATAAGATATCTCCTTTGGCTGATGTTACATCTGAAAGCCTTGGAATGGTTTTTGCTTATGCTGAAATATTATAACCGAAAACATCAAACAAATTTTGGCTCCAGTGAGTGTCAGCCTGAACCATCCAGAAATTTTTTTCTGATCTTATAAGGTAGGATATTGTATTAGAGCGAAGTAGTTGGAACATTTGGTAACGGCCAGATCCTACCATAAAGCTATCTTCCTAAGTTATTTTCATATTTTAAACAACAAATAAACATTTAAGCTATTCGAACCATCATTTCTATTTTCCATCTTACAACACTTATAATGGGCCACCGTTTTCGGATAGAATCATATGTGATATCATCCAAACAAATAATTACGACTCTTTCTAGAATCCCGAATTCCTGAACATTACAGAGCCAGTTCAGAGTAATCGCAAGAGCATACTAAAAATGATATAAGGGTTCTGAAGTCTCACTCAGTGACTTACTTGGTTAGCAAATAAAATGGCTTTAGGTTCATTAGCTTTTTGAATTAACTACAATAGTATGTAAGTACACCAGGTGAAGATCATAAGTTTTACTTTAAACAATCTCCTATCTATGTCTAGGATCTCAGGATTAGCTTCATGTCCATGTTGATTTAAGAACTTGAGAGATTCTTGAGAAGCCAGATATTTTCCTACTAGCACATGAAGAACAATCGCAAAGAATGTGAGAAAACACGTCCTTCCGAAGCCATGATAATATAGCTAAGATAGTTTATGTAAGAATTTCATAACAAATTGAACAGAATTAGGGTGTGATTTCATTGTCAAAATGAATTTTCTCTCAAAAACTTTGTGATCGGTAAAGAACGAAAAATGCAACCACTCAGCACGAAAGATGTAAGAAAATGAGTTTTGTGAAATTAAATGTTCAAATAACTATTCTGAAATGAAAAATGGTAAGATACCTGCTTATAAATGTAGTTGGAGCAATATCTCACGTTGAAGATACGCATTGAAGCTGCTAAATATTTAGTTTGTTATTTAAGTGCCTAAATGACTATGGCTTGTGACCGAAAAATGCACATTAATTCGCTCCTCCCTATACTTTCTACATTTCTTATCCTAAAGCGAACTAAATCGCTAGCTGCATCTAGATTTCTCGATTGATTACTTACTCCTTGTGTTCCTCAGATTATACTGTCTGATTGTTAGATCGATTCAGTAATACTAAAGGTTTTTTTCGAATTAAGTATACAGAGTTTTAAGAGTGCCATAAGAATATGCTAAAAAAAGTTTCCGTGATCTCAAACTTTTAGGAGATTCTCAAAATCATGCTATAGTAAGCTCAACGTAATTCTGCGAACTGATTTTTTTGAGCGCTTACAGAGCTCTTTTAGTTTACTACTTCTACTGAAACTGTAAAACTGTTTTCGAATAAGATCTCATCTTTATTCTATTTCAATTAATTTAAATGTACGCACTGAAAATAATGTACAAGGTGGAATGAGGACAGAAAAAACAAAATTATATTTCCATAACGAAATAGCTCTATTTGACCCTAATGTCGTTTATTAAATTGTCTACTTGGCGAAGAAAACTAATTCCTAAGAAAGAATGTATTCAGAAACTTTTCCCTTGAAAATGGTTGGTGAACTAGACATCACCAGAATGCTTAGTGAAGATCATTGAAAATCATATTTCCCCATTGATAGAGCAATTTCTCAACCAAACCGCGTTCTTTGGGATTCCAGTGTTCCATAAAAGCAGTATGACCACCATGAGATGTAATCACTGATATGACTGTTTCACTTTTAGAAATGACATCAAATGGTATCGCTGAAAACTTCTGTTTAAAAAAAACTGAGAAACAAAAAATTACATGCTATGGGGGCAAATACATCATCAACAGAGTTCAAGCAAATGGTAGGAACAGGAATCCGATCAGCCTGAAACATTTATCAGTTAATTGGTTATAAGCTTTAATCACTTTACTTTTCGGCAGAGAGCAGCGTCCTCATAGTATTCACGACAATCTCGATAACCAAAGACCGGCGTAGTGAACAGAGTGTCGAAGTGGCGAATAGTTTTTACCTCAGATAACTTGTCGAAATCCATAACATCTTCAAAGAGATGCCGATGTCTGAAAAAACTTTCGGTTCACTATTCATTACTTCAAACATACGGTTTGACTATATTAACTAAAGTTTCTGCCAAATGATGATTGAATAAAAAGCGAGGAAGGGGAGCCTAAAACAACCAGCTCAATGTTTTTGTCAGTGGAAACGCTTACTTCAAGTGATTCAGTAGAAGCATGAGGATCAAAAGGGGAGGATATAATCATTGCCGCGTTGATGTTAACATCGGAAGCTGTTTTCTTCGCCATATAATTTCCTAAGATCATGCTGAAATGATTTTCGATGAATATGATACATAACACATTGACTCACCCGCCCATGCTGAATCCGCATCCAATTTTTTTTGCTTTAGGGAAACGCTCAGTAATCAACTGAAGAACTTGCTCTATGTCACCAGAATAACATGCATTATAAGTTCTTGAGAAAGAAGATGAACTATACAAATTGAAGAAATGGATTACTGTTTAGTTTTCAGAGGAACACCGCCGAGCCCACGTGGGTTAACTACAACTGATTTCCAATTATGATCAAGAGCTTCCAAAACACAGTGCAAAATATAGGAACTCTCGTGTGTTGAACCTAAGAGAGAATATTAATTGACAATGACAATCACGAAGATCAGCAACCTGTGATACCGGGAAGAAAAACAAAAATAGGGCTTTCATCATTTGATTCTTTGGGGTTCATCCAATCTATGGCTACAACACCAGAATCCGAAAGAGTAACTACTTCCCTGTAAACAACGGTATCACTGAAAGGAATTATGCTGACCTATCGAAAGGCAAAGTTGGACATTCCCGAAACATATGTCTAAATATTGACATGAGAGTTCCAAAAGGACACCACCATGACGGCGTATATTTCTAGAAAACGAAAAGTATAAGAAAGAGTTAGACACTGACCTCATGCAACAAATCTAAATGCTTATGAATACGACAATAAAGATCAGACCCAAATTTAGTGTAAACCCGTGGTTTCTGAAAACACGAATCGGTTATAATATGTAAACATCTATTTTGAAACTAGAAACTTACATTCTTAACAATTAAACCCGAATACAAACTATTTTTAAAACGGTTCACTACAAGACAGGTAAGTAATGCTTAAAACGCCTTAGCTTCGACCTCCCCCATACATCGAAGGAATTGTTCTCGATGAATTATGTTCGTAGTGGCAACGAGAATACGAAAATTATTCTGAACGGCAAGAAGACGAAGGGCAGCTACTTCTGCGTAAGTGACGCCACCCAGAAAGAAGACAAGAATAGCTTTTTTCATTCGATTGTCCGGTCTTCCATCAGCCGGTGTATAACTGTTTTCTTCTACCAAAACATGCCCAAACGTTTTCTTCATCTCATTTGTATTCCAACCATGAACCATTGAATCAGATACTATTTGGCAAAAAGGCGGTGTGAAAACTCCAGAAAAAACGTAACTCATCTTGTTAGGGTTACGTAAATCCACCCCAACGTCTTCAGAACTGGGAGTTAGATTTAATCGTTTAGACAGGAAAGCAAATGTTGGAGACGGATCGCTGGGTGTACCAGCATGGATGGACGGAATCGCAGACTGAACTATATTACCAACGGCGGGCTTGCTTTTTTCAAAGAAGAGTTTCCTCGACTGTAAGCTATGAAGAACAGGTAGGAAATCATATCCATAAGCTCGGAGAAAATGTTCGCGGAATGAGTGATACCCCTTGCTTGGAAGACCATTGTTAGTAACAGAAGCTAGACATATTAAAGCTAATACAGACCATGGAGATTGATTTCTAAGCGCACATTCTTCCAAATAAGTTATCACTTCGTTGACGTTAGCGGTCCCGCTCACAAGTTCTTGCTCATAACGCAGTCGCTCACTGGCTCCGATTGAGTTATTTTTCTCTAATAACACTTCACAAGCACAAATGTGCATCTCCAGTTGACGATGTTGTTGTTTCAGAAACTTCAACTCGTTGGACACAAATTGCTTCATGTCTTGCACTTGGTCTATAGAAGCTCCTTTATCATAAGTGGACTGAATTTCCTTAGCTTTCGAACTAAGAAACGGAAACACACCCGTCATGTGTTTATTTCTGACAGAAGCAAAAACTCCATCGTTATTATCCAAAACAAAAACCTTGTGCTTATAAGGTTCTCCCTCCTTGGCATGAGGATCAGCTTTCATCCTGGATTGTACTTCGGGACCGAAAGATATTTTACCACATCCTATTGTGAAAACGTCATGAAGCATGGCTTCGTAAGTTAATCCTGTCATAAGAACCGATGCCGGATCGAGAGACCGATCGAAAACAAAGAGATGGCTGATCGGTTGATCAGGGGAAGCTCGGGGTTCTCCTTTCTCCACATAGAGATGCCGGAGAAGTTTCCACATTTTGTTCGATTGTTCGCCTAAACCATAAACCGTAGGAATCAAACCATAAAGAGACTGTAGCTGGAATAATGAGTGAGCGGCTTGGTACAGATCCGCAGGATAAGTCACAGGTAGTTCTAAAGAAAACAAATCGTTTTCTATAGGCAGAAGGCACATAGGGAGCTCATATGTTTCTACAATTCCATAAACTCCTTGGGTTTCCAATTGTCTATCACAAATAGAAAGTCGTCGGCCGACCCAAATAACAGCTACTTGCTTATCAGGTGATGCACGAACATGATGAGAAACTAATCTTGCCATTTCTAATGAAGATCGAAGTATGTAGATCCTTCTATTTATGTCTGGATCCCAAGATAAAACAGAATCAGCACGTAACGGCAACACTCGTGAGCACCCATGGTTCTGAAGCAGAGACATCGACGCAACTTTGTCGAGGGGCCTCAAAATTGTTGCATCAACAACTAAATCTTTTTGTCCTGGTAAAGATTCCAGTAGGTGAACCAGTTCTCTACGAGTAACTTCACATAGCAACCCGAGAGGTTGATCAGTGAAATCAGTCATTTCCTATCATATACTGTAAAAGAGTCATTCAGTTAACAAATAAACTATGTTTCAGCCCAAACGAGAAGGGCACACAGAAACGAAATCTCGAAAAGGCCAACAACACACCACCACATAGTTAACTCAAAGTTTTGAAAAATAATATACGAATGAGCTCTCATAACATTGCGATTTACCATTACCGAAGGACAGTAATTTAGAAGAAGTTCACTTAAAAGCACCTACCTCAGAAGCATATTGTGTGTATAGCCATAATAGGGATAATAAACCTCCAATTAAAGTTATTAACAGGAACACCATAGTAAGTTAGAGAGTAGAAACAAACTAGTTGTAAACCAATGATGGTGGTGTGATGTAGGTACAAAGAACAAGAATTGAGCTGCTAGAACAAATCGCAAGCTAAAACAGAAAGTAGTACATATCAGAAAAGATAACATGGCTTATTTTTGCACAAAAAAAATTCAACAAAGCTGAAACAATCAACACAAACTAAAAGCTTCTGCCTAATCATGGAAGATTTGAAGACGTCCAAATAAAAATACTGGTACGCAATTTTGTTACTTATACAAACAAAACTTTTGGCACTTAATGAAACATAATCACTTCTGTTATATCAAAAATGGAGATGATTTGGCAAAAGCAACCGTTCTATGGCGTTTGAATCATTTAAAATGTGTTTTCGGTTGGACGCATCGCCAATACTGGAGTTTTCGGCTTTTTTGACTGATTAGTTTTATGATTGACTGTATAAACTGTGCTCATGAGTTCAAGATGGGCTTTAGACTAGCTGCATTGGCTTACAAAGAAAGGTGTTGAAATAATTCAACTTGCGCAATGAATCATGTATACTTCATATCGATATATAGTTTCTTATTAGTAAAAGTAATTATCTTTGTTAAAAAGATTTTGTGATCTGAAGAGAATTGATGGGCTTTTCGTTATACAATCCTATTGAATGAAGTTTATCCCTTCCATCGAGGATAAGTACTTCTTATTGATTTGTAAACTGTTTGTATTTTTATAGAACAGTTTTGTTTGGGAAACAAACAGCTTCAACACAAGGTCATTCTGCTTAGTAGATTAATGAATGAGGAAAAGTTTTTTGATTACACAAAACACTATTAAATGAGAATTACATCAGGTTGTCAAAGTAGTTTTTTTCTCGGAACTTTTTCGGATTTGACGCCCAACCATATCGGCTTGTAGTCCAAAACTATTCGAACAATGGCGTCAAGTTCTTTAGTCAGCCGGTTACCTTATTTGATCAACTCGAACATTCATTTCTATCATCTTCCAATGTTCTCATACTCATCTATGGTTAGATATGCAAACATTTCATCTCTTCTTTCTAAATCTCGAATAATTGTACGTACTTTTGATTATTCAGGTATAGTTGGTTTACCAAATGTATAATTTACATACTCATTGCATATATCTAGAAGTCTGTTATTGATTACTATTATGAATAGAAGCTGTTTTAGTTGTTTCTTTTGATAATTAGTTATGTTCTATACATAGACGATGGTCAATGACATCAACCTTTTCTGTATAATAACCGCTTAATCCTTCCAATCTCCGAAAGTGGTCTTGGAATCTTTTTTTTTCTTTTTGACTTGCTTTGGTTGTCCATTCTCCATTCAGTAGGATTCGCAAAACCTTTTTGTATATACCTTCTTCACATGATCCCATTATATCATATGGTGAAAGTTTAATTGTATACTCGAAAAGTCAGTGAAATAATATCATTTTGAGATCTATTTGTAAACGTTTTCGCTCAATTGCCTTGAAATTGAGATGGTCAAAAGAAAGAAGCCGATAGCCTCTTGATGGTTCAACAAGCAAACCATGAATAGAAATTTATCCAAGAGGGCGTGAAGCTCTTTAACAGACTCTCGATGATGCTTCCCCGGTTTTCGTAAATTCTCAACATAAGCTTCAACTTTGAGTATTTTGTCGAACAACAGATATTTTCTAAGAGTGTGCGTACCCTTCATCTGTCCTTATCTCTTTTTTGTAATTGAAATAGTGATTTCTGTACTTTTCTAAACTTAACGCATATAAACATAAGTTGTTTAATCCACGATTGACCTTAATCAGATATTCGGTTTTTCGGTGAAAACGAAAGGGTTTTTTGAATGGTCTGAATTGAAATAAGAACAAGCTGGATGAAGAAGACAAGAACCTGTCGTTCAATCTTTCACATCATTTACTTTACTTCTCTTTGCAATCTCAAACCTAATTCATAAACCTCAATTGATAAGGAAAGTTCAATCATTTTTCGTTTCTATTTCGTTCTTTAATGAAAATGTATATTCTTTTCTCTCTCTCCTCTGTTCATATACATTCTAGTAAAGTTCATGTCAAAGACCTTGAGAGACAACTCCTTCATTTTTTTGTCGTCATCATTTTCTATGAAGATTTACAAAAGAGTATCCTGAACCATCATGTTCGAAATCATAAATCATACGGCAACCTAATTAGCTTTTGTAGGATGTCTTATGTCCTCAGATAATCCTCATTTTCTCTTGTTCTGAACGACTCTTTTTAAGTATTCGTCGATCAGAAACTTTGTCAAGTTTATGTCAACTGTACCTCGCTCCTCTATCTCGTTTTTCAAATCTTATTCGATACATGTTCTTCTTATTCATTCCAAAAAATTATCCTGATAAGGGTTGAGCATGGTAGTATATGAGCACCGTTGGGTCTGTTGTATCTTCTCAAGTTTTCATTTTCATTTCATATTGTTGTCTCTGTAAATTTCATATTGTTTTGATCAACGTAGTTTCTCTGAAAACATCAGTTACTCTTCGTTTGCTCTTTTTGTTTCTCAGAATATTGTCCAATATTTCTTTTTTTTTCTAAATTTTTATATGTCACAAAGGATTTTGTCATAAAGTATCCAACTGTGATTGGGCACAACGAAAGAGATACTCCTCTGTCATGCTAGTTAATCGTTTTGGGCAAGTTTGGAAACGTTTAAAATTTGGAAATATTGTTTGTTTGAATCCATTGTGTGTATCCATCTATATTAACAATGGATTTTTGATTCATTAAGTTATCTGACCCGCTCTTCCGAAGGTTGATCCGAGTCATTCAAAATAGCAATGAAGTTATCACCCATTTCTTCAAATCAGTCTCGTCCTATTGATAAGTGTTGATTAAACGATTTGTTGTAAAATTTGAATGGTGCGAACTTTGAACACTTCATAAGTGTGCATTCTTTAGTCCAGCTGCATATCTGATCGTTCAAATGTTTCAAATCTTGCCTCGTTTGACAACGTATCTTCTTTTTATCGACAAGTTTTGCAAGAAACTGTGCATATACCGAATCTCATATTGTAATCTTATAATCAGGTTGAATAATGGATCTCTAAGACTTCATCGATGTAGCATTCAATACTGATTTCAAGAAAAAATGTTCAAACGTAGAGCGAGTGTTAAGTCGATGCATCCCGTCTACGTTTTTTTGTATTCGATTTGAATTATTTGCAATAGTAGATCCTCATTTTCTCACACTTATCCACTCTGAAATAGTTTGTTCAAATCACAAATGAATTGCGCAAATTTGAGAACTGTAGATGATGTTTGAAATGTTGTTGATTCGTTGTTAAATGAATGTGTTCTTCTTCGATTCAGGATGAAGATTTGTCGAGCTCATGCTGTCTTCTGAGAGCTGCAAGTACGATTTGTCTTCTTGTTTATTTGACCATTGTCCGGATTATTCGGTCGTATTCCTCTTTGCGTTTCCCGTTTTCTTTTTCAATCAGTTCATCGTTGAGACATGGATTTGAAGACATTCTCCTCTACGACAAATAGAATATTTGCATATCATACGATTGGACATCAGATTTTCTGTCATCCTCTTTCATCTTTCGCGATTTCTCTCTAAAAAAACACAAAGACAATTGAAGATTTTTAAAATCTGAAGTGAGTTGCAGACTAACTGAGACTCTAGATTCACCTCAACGTCATCACTGTTTGATAAATTATTTTTGTTCAATTTATATCTGGATTCGAGCATCTGATAAAGAGCCCCATCTTTGCGAGAATTGCATGGTGTTGAAATTATTTTAAATTTCTTCTTTTATATGGAAACATGATGCTTTGGATGAATATTCAACCAATAATACTAATGAAGAATTGTTTGTCAAAAACTATTCACATGAATCAACTTTAAGTTGTTTCCTCCTCACTACGATCCGGATTGAGGACTTTGACTACTTGTCAAGAGCTTCTTTTCGTCATTTGTATGGAATATACCACAAGAGGATGAGACGATTGATTCATATAATCGAAGTAACTTTTAATATCTTCTCTCCTTTGTTCTAAAATGCTGTCTTCATGTAATACAAAGATTAGTATATGCCTTCCGTACTAGAATTAGCTCATGATAAACTCTGTTTGACCATTTTTATTTGTTTTCAATATAAGCTGAGGTTCGATTATGTTGTAAGACGATTGAACTTTACTTATTCTCTTGTTATTTAACTGACCTCTCTTTCTTCATGTTAGCTCTCGTGTGTCTCCTCTTCCGCCAATAATGCTCTCACGCATTTGCTTTGCCTTAATTCAGAGTTTGTTCAAGTCGGTTGGAGAAAAACAGTTTATTATAATGTATAGAACATACTGTCCCTTCGTAGTTCGTAGTTTTGTTCCGATACGCAACATTACATCCAACAAGTTCATTTTACGATATTTCTTTTTTCTATTCGCTCACAGTGAAGGAAATCATAAAAACAAGATGCTATAGGAATAAAACTAAAATAATATCACTTGTTTATGATTTTCCTCACTTTTTTAACAGAAAAAAAAGAGAAGGAATGTAATGAACCTTGTTCGTAAACTGCTTTCCTTGTCTTGTAGTTAGAAAGTAAAACCATTCTTCATAACCTACTATTATATTCTATCCTTTGATTCAGAAAAACAGAAACAAAAACTAAAGCTTCTGATGGGTTTTTTCTGGTATTTCGTTCACTTTAATTCACTTTTTTTTCTTACTTTATTCGTCCTTCGAATCATGGTAGTCAGTTACATCTTTTCTTCCGGAACCCGACTAATTACCGAGCGTCCGTTAATTGGACCGTCAATTGCCTTTGACCATCTAAGATCATGCGGTCTGTAATAGCAAACATATGGATTGAAATGGATGAAACATACATGACGCAGTACGTCAGGTTCTCCTTTTCATAAAAACTTAATATTATTCTGTCAATATTGAGAATTTTCCATCTTGCACACAGCTGCTAATAGGTTTTCATTGCACTTACACGCTTTCGTTGTCTAAGAGAAGTATGTACGTGCATTTGCTCATTTTTCATTTTGTTCCCTATTAATGAAGCCGAGAAGACGAAGATTTCGGTCTCATACTTGAAATGAGAATTCCTTTTGAGAAAGCCGACCATCTTCTATTGGAACACTTGATGAAAGTATAAAAAGTTTTGAGGATGAGCTCTTCGTTTGCCTGTTCTTCTTTTTTTTTGAGAATTCTTGGCACTTTTGTGTTGTTTATTCAGAGAAATGAAAGAAATTCAGTGCACTACTAGAAGATGGACTAATTTGAGATTTGTAATTCCTTTCTCTATCTCTTCATCTACGCTATATCTTCCATCATCATCTATAAGCCGAAAGAGAATTGAACTTGAAGCTCATCACGCAATATCTTCTTCATATTTTCAATGAAACAGATTGTTGTTGGGAGTTGTGTCAATACCCAATCTTACAATCCAAGTGCAGAAGTGCTACCAAAGACTTTCTTCTGATTTTTAAGAAAGCAAGAAATTATGGCCACTTTTAAAATAGTTTTATTTGATCAAGATACATTTCTTATCATGCAGCATGTTCTAGATCCTGTTGAGCCTAGTTGTGTGGCCATTTTCAGCTCTCCCACATCACAGTTTCATGTTCAACTTCACTAAATTAAATTGAAATTTCTTTTTTTCATTGTTTTTTTTGTAGAAATTTGAAGATGCTAGCCTCGGAGAAAATCGAGAGCAACTCTTTGATACAGTTAGACTATGTAAAGATGGTAACCAGAATGTCTTCTTTATTATTTCGACTGTACTTCTTTCTTCAAACGAAAGATTTCAAGCTTCTTCATTTTGTCCTTGGCACAGTTTCAGCAATCATTGTGACGTCAAGTTGTCTCCTTATTCGAGCAAATAAACTCAAATGGACTTCCTTCAGTCAACATCAATCACCAGTTTTCTGTTCGGCTTTTCTTTGAATCACAACATGATTGTTCAAATCATAAGCCTTTCTTTAGCGTTTTTTTTTCTTCCCGTCATTTTTTATTTTCATGTAATCGAGAGTTTGATGTCTCATACAAGTCATTCGATCAAATATCGCATCACTTCCCCTCCCACTCTGTTCTATTACCTTCGGTGCTTCTATGAATACTACCTGTTTTCAGCCATTTTTTACCTTTTATGTAACACGAAAAAACTGTTTTTGTCCTTCTGAAATCGTCTAATTTCATGTGAATTACCACAAATAACAAGTTGATGAGACAAAATGACATTCGAGTTCTTCCTCACACCCCTCTCCCCCAGTTCTCTCTATACTACCTTGCCTCATTCATTGGCTATGTGTTCTACGATTATCTTCTTCTTTATTTTGACGAATTGAGATTTCGATAGCTAAAAATAATCACTTACTGAATCATTTTATGATTCTTCTTATCAACATTTACTGTGTTTTCCCATAAAATATTCAAAAAGCTCATTTTTCCATAAAAAATCCATAAAATGACTTTCTCTCGTTTCCTCAAAATTACCGTTTCTCTTATCTGCACAGTATTAATGTCTAAAACTTCCCTCGTGAAACATTTTTTTCACAACAGATCTCCAACTTTTAGGGAAGAAAAGCTTTTTTCTTTTCTTGTTCATCTTTCTATTCATCATCATATGCTTGAAGGATCTGGAACAACGTGTAACGGAGAACCAGTCAAAGTGATCAGAAAAAAGTTCCATTTGACATATTCTTTCCCTTTCAAGGAAGACGTCGTCACTCTCATAGAATACCGAGAATCAGATGTCTACGAGAAGAATAAGAAACGAACGAGACATCTTAGTTTGCTCCGAAGAACTAGTTGATTTTCATGAAGAATAGTAGAATCTACAGAACGCGAAAGTTTCTATAAGGCTTTTCTATGATTTTACTGATGGGAAGGGTAGCCTCAAAACTTCAACTGGTACACTCGAGTAAGATAGAAACAAGCAAATTTACTTAATCTTTTTAATTCATACAATACATTTCCTTATTTCATTTACTTCCTCGAAGTCTCCGTTTTTTCAAACCGTTTCATCCGGTCTATCTCTGTTGATGTGTGAAAAAGCTGTCAAATAAATGCCTTGAGGAAAAATCAAATAATATTTTTTCTCGTAGCTTTTAGAATAAGAAAACAGGATTTCATAGGATGCATTTCCTTATTTTGCACTTGACATATGCACCTTTGTGGAATTATAGTAGAAAATTTTTTTCTCATAAGATCAACATTCATCTCATTCTGGTGTTCTGAGAGGGTCAACCCATTTTTCCGAGAAGATTCAAACTGACCAGTTTCTTTTGGTTGTGAGACAAATTTGTCAGAAGGTTTTCTTCAATCTTTATTCTTATGCAAATAATTTTGGGTCTCTTTTTCTTCTTACATTTTCTTTGCGTGAATCTGCGTTCTCTCTTGATTTTTTTACAAATTGAAAGTTCATTTTTTTAGATCGACAAACTATCTGAGTGGTTGTGATTTTCAGGCTTCTCATAAAAATCTTTTTTTCAATGTATTCATAAAGTTATTCCCTTTTTCATTTTCTTCGCATTTCACTTCTTATCCGAATCTTCGAGGCAATTGCTATCCTTAAACCTGTCAAAAGTCAAAACGATTGCCTAATAGATTTCTCGCTTTTATGTTGCCAAGCAAACTTTCCTCCTCTTCTTTTTCTTCTTCTCTCCTTACCCTTATTTTCCTTTTTCGCTCATCTCATCGTTTCTCTCCTTCACCTTCTCAAGCGATCCTCTTCATGTCGTAAAGTTTTTCAATGTTGCCGATTCATTGAATTCAATAGCTGTGAAAAGTTTGATAATTGAAGGAGATTTACAATTATCTCACATGGCACGATCTGGTTTCTGAAATAGATATTGAAAAATGTTATTCTTATCCAGCATTATAAGTAACCTCTCACCGCTTAATACTTAGTACTTCAGTCTTACAGCATAAGATTGCATGACTTTTTCTTATCAATTTTTTGATCTAATTCACACGATTTTACAATGAGTTTAGAGACTATGTAAAGCATTTTTTCTTCACCAGAACAATGTATTGCTTCTATTTGATTCTATATTCTGCGCTTCAATCAGATATCAAATCAGACAAATAGACTCATATTTTACAAGATGCATTGTCGATCTTCTTTTTTTCTTTTCTCTTTTTGCTCATCAAATGATTTTCCACCGTGGATACTTGATAAGCCATGATAACAAATCAGCTCAAAACTCTTCTCAGTTTTTCATTTTTATCATTCTTTTCTCTAGAGTTGAGGCTGTTCAAATTTTTCTGTTAAGACTTCTCTCATTATACAATATACAAAACTTGTTTTCGTCTTTACTTCTTTTCTCCTCTCTTGAGATAACATAAACAGCAGAAGTGAAGCATGGCTCTAGTACTTCGTTTTCTTTGAAATTTCGTTAAACTACTTTGAATAAGAGACTCATTATTTTTTATTAGGAAATGACTGCCACACTACGAGACAGCATCTGCCAAATGGGTAGGATGGAAATTCCAAGACCAGAGTTTAAGGGAATGCAGTTTGTTGCCACGCGCGGTAAAATGGGATTTTATCGAGTAAGTCTACAGTCTTCGAGCAATTAATTCAGTTGTTTTCTTAATTTTTATCTCAAAAATTCAGACCATACGGGCTAATGGTGCTCAATATGGACTCCAAATGAAGCAACAACCTCCTCGTCGCCCTGCTTTGAGCAGTTCTCTCTTCCAGAGGTTAGTGCTTAAGATTTTTTTTGCAATGAAAACTTGATGTCATTTCCTGGCTTGATAAAGACGATTGAGAGAACTTAAAGTATTAAGAGAGAATAATCTTCTCAGCTACACACTGAGTACATTTTTCGAACCTTATAACCTTCTTTTTCGAAAGATCAGATTTTGAAGTTTTTATCGCTTTCCAAAACAAGATGATAAGTAAAGCAAAAAATGATTCTCTAGAAGCTCCCTAATTTTTCTTGATTCAAGGCCTGATACTGTTAAAGAGGAAGATTCGGATGATACAATTTCTCCTCCACCCACTCCGAGAAGACAAGAGTATGGTCATAGCGATAATGACGATTCCAGTAGTAGCCAGGTTCGTGGATATTTTCTTTACTAAAAATACAGTACGATACAAAAAAGATATAAACTAATGATAAGTGAACAACCGTTCCTTGAGCCGATTAACTATTAAATGAGCAACGCCCTTTCACACGTACTTCACGTAAAGTCACGTTTGCGTTTGTGAGATAGGATGGTGTTCCATTATTGAAAAAAATCTGGCGACTGTATTTTTCGCTGAAACCATCCTTGACGTGTGCAATGAGCTTTGACACCTGACGTCATTAAAAATGATATACAAAGTACCAACAATCAATGATTCTCATCTAATTCTCACAAATGATAAAGAAGAACAAGGAGCAGTGCATACTTGTGTTTTCTCTTATCAACAATGAAACTAAAAGAAAATAGCCGGTAATATGATATTCAAAGTATTGTAAAAATTTGCAGTTATCAACAAAATAATAGTTGCGATCAGAAAAAGTTGCATTGCTTTCAGATGTCCAACTATTCAGTTTCTCCTCAGCCACCGTCTCCAGTTGATTTGCCTCCAGATTATCCTGATGACTATGTACCAATTCATCTTAGAAAACAACCTCAGAAACTTGATAGCCGTTTCATCAAGCGCTATCAGTAAAAAAATAATTGTCAAGAAAAGCGATTCTACTCGGAATCGTTTGGACGCCACTGTCTCAAGCACGTTGTAGTCACTTCCTATTCGAATAATCTGTTCATAATTATTATTATCTATTAATTCATCTTTGCTGTTCCTTTTCCGGTACCTACACACAAAGACCCACAAGGAACAATCTGAAATGTAATATATTTTAAGAAAAAGGCTCCAAGCTTTAAAGTGTATGGAACGTTGTTTCTAAAACATAACACCATCTACCTACTCTACTTCTTTGATGTAGGAAATGAAGCTGAGCAGTCAACTTTTGGTCAACTTGTGGTAATTTGTGACTGTAATCTAAGAACTAATTTGCTCATTTGCCTTTCCACAGCTTAGTTTCTCACCACACAATGTCATTACATCCTGTGCCTCTTTCCTCATCCAATGATAGCTACCGTTTGGAGTTGCTCATCAAGATCGAAAAAATGAAAAACTTCCAACTCATGGTAATTTAACCATAATTGGAAATGAATACATCGCGTTGTTTGTAAATAAAAATTTCTAATAAATACTTTTAAATAATTTATAAAACTTTTGTTTATCTATGTACAAAAATGGCTCATGTAAAAAAATGGATAGTGTTAACTGAAACAAAATGCACAACGGCGAGATGGCGTGGGAAAAACTAAGATTCTAAAGCTCTATTAGATATAAGTGATGTAATAGATCTGTTTCTGATTGACAAGAACCGTATATATATTGATTAACCTATCTCATTAAACCCTACAAGTATCTAGTTTATCACATCGGAGGAGCACGAGATTTTGATATTAATTAGAAGTTTGACATATTTACAAGAAACATTAATTACAATTTTGTTCATGCGAATAGCATTTCTGCTGCTCGGTTAAGATCCCATCCCGTTCTATCTAACACATCGAAAGCTTTTCCTTTATCTGATATCACAAAACATTCCATCTGGAAAAATCGGAAATAATTTTTTCGACAAGTTTTCCTCACCAAGTGTTCCATTTTTAACTCTTTCAGTGCTGCCTCAATATCACCTTTGCAAACATTCACCATTTCATCACATTTCGAATGACTGTAAAAATGTTTAAATTGTAAAATATCATGAAGGCAACAGTTACGGAGCAAACGGAGCTTCTCTGTAAAGTACTTCCATTTCATGTGCTCTTCCTATTCCATTTGACCTTGTGGTCTCGGAACCCGAAGAAGGTGCTATCGATGGTTGGCTCTATAAAAATCATGAACTATTTTAAGAAAATGAATGTAGTCTCACATTTCGGAAAGGATCAAGAGCATCTAAAACATCTTCCGCACTTCCAACTCTGAAGATTGAAGGAGTGCTCGGAGTATTATTAGTTGGAATATAGGGAGTATTAGTGATTGCTAACGGGTATGCTGTAAACAAAATATTATTGTCTAAAAACACGATAACCAACCATTGGGTGTCCGAACATTATTTTGAGAATGAATATTGTATTGGCTGTTGTTTAAAGCAAACAGAGGTACCTAAATGAGTGGAATGTGAAAAAAATCAAAAATCAAGCTTATTATTGGAGAGAAAACATATTTAGTCGAACCTGAGTGGGATGAGGTTGGGCAAGGGGAAGATAAGGTGAATAGTTATAAGCGTTCATTATGTTAGAAATCTGAAAAAACATGCGAAGGTGGAAGCAGAGGGTAAAACCATTATTCCCGTTACCTCTACAGTTCTATCTACTAAAGGTGTTGCCGGAACATTATAATTTACAGGTAAACGAGTCGGCTCCAAGACACTGTTTAGGGAAATCGGTAAAGGATCCACAGGTTTAGTCATTCGACTCATCGTAGCCGTTGTTGCCGAATAACCAACTCCAGAGTTTGGAGTGGGTTGTCTCGGCAAGGCAGGCGTTGAAGCAGCTTTATGTAAACTTGGCTAAAACAGAGGGAATGAAAAAACACAGTTCTAGACAAAGCATTTCATGTTACTTACTTCACTGGAAGCACTGACAACAGAAGAAGTTTTGTTCTTATCTCCAAGTAAGAGTGGGCTAGGAGCTCCCAGCCTATTCAGAACTTCTTCCTCGATCCTGGATTTCCTATCCTCAGCACTTTCTCTATGATTATTAGTTCCGGTACGCATTGTGACATTGCCAACAGAAGTTGAAGAATTGTTTTGATTCTTCATTGTATTAGCCGTTGCGGATGGATGAGTTGAGTTGGGTTTCACGGAATTGGTGCCAGAAGTACCCATAGAAACAGATTGCTGTTTAGGCTTGGGATTGCCTTGTGGAGCGGCTTCTGATGGAGGCCGAACCACCGTAGATGTGTTCATATTTTTTAATGATGAATTATCCAAAGAGGCATTTTCTGCTTGTGATCTATGGTTATACCCGGGAGGAAGAGTCATGGAAGCGGTCGGAGTAACGAAAGATGCATTAGGAAAACCAGAGCTAACTGGAGCATTCGGTGTGCCTCGATTTATTGTTTGAGATCGAGGAGTGGTACTGGAAAGTGTGGGATTCGATTGTAGTTGAGGAGTGAAACTGAATTATTTAAATTTATAGATTGCCTACTTTATTGCTATACCTTGGAGTGTTCTGAGTCAGAATTGGCATTTGAGGCGGTAAAGGGGTTGGGGTAAGACAAGGAATTTGCTGAAACATAGAACTGAGAGCAAAAAATAATAATGTATATACAGATGTTAGTGGAATTCCAAAGCTTTGTGGGTTTCCTACTGAACTAGAAATGGATGACTGAGGCACGCCGGTCGTTGAATGTGGACGTGGGGTTTGAAGCGAAGCAGATAAAGGCTAAACAGTTTTGATTAATCAATATTGATCTGTGAAATCTCACTGTCACTTGTGGAACCATATGCGGTTGATGTTGGTTTAGAAGCTGTAATTGTTTCAGAAGTCTCTGTTCTTGGATAATATCATTTTTCGATTGTTTTTGTGAAGTTGGGTAGCTTTTGTCAGGGACCTGAATGAGTCATTGTTGGAATTATGGTCTCGCGCTATCTTTATGATAAAATCAGTATAAAAGGACGTACGTTGAACGGGTCTTTAGACGGGGACACCGTTATTCCTGACGGCGTGAAAGAGACAAAGTTTTGTTGGACATTATGATTGGAAACATATGGCTGAGTTCCTTCTGAAAAATAAAAAATGAACAATTTCCATAAATTTTATTCAAAAGATTAATCTAGATATAAAACGTAGATTTCGATAATTTACCGGAAGGTTTAAATTTCCTGTTCAATTCTTCCAAAACGTTTTTGTTCACTCCTTGACCTGATATGGTGGTCTAAACGGAACTTTCAATACTGATATTATTAGATGATACTCACCCGTCTTGTAATGCTATGTGAATCAGAACTACTAGAAGTGGACGCCGATGAACTCTAGAAAAATGTGATTATCAGAACATTTGTAACGAATACCATACCGAAGCTATGAAGCTATTGGGATTGATGGTTGGTGGGGTTCTATTCTCATTTCTTCTAACTTCTCCACCTGGTCTAGGAATAGAATGAAGAGTCGGTGGGATCCCTAAGCGATTTTATCAAGTGATAAACCATCTTAACGTCAGTATCATACTTGTTGTCACATTGCCGAATGAACTGCTCGATGATTTCGAAGTAAATTGGATCGATCCTGAGGAAATGTTAGCTGCAGTCTGCTCTGATACTAATGGAGGTTGATGACTTGAAATGCTCTTAGACGGCATATTTATACTCGCTTGAAACATCTGATATATCACTTAACTGGAAATGAGCATACCTGTTCCACTCTGAGTTGGGATTATAAGACTTGAAGAGGCCATACCATTAGTAAAAGCGGACGAGGACCAAACTTCTCTAGCGCTATGATGGGCATCTGTCTTCCGACCTGTTGAAGTTGGATAACCGTTCGATACTGGTACGACAGCTAGAAACAATAATATGAGGAAAAGCGGAATTGATCGCAAAACCTTTGGGAACATTCTTTGGAAGTGGTGGCGGGTTAACAGGGGCTATTTCAATCCTACTAGGAGAAAACGATGGAGATTGTGCAGCATCAAAGTCTCCCCAATCAGGATGAAGGGGATCAGTAGTAGTTCTCACAGTCAACGAGTTGGGTTTGCCTGTGTATGAGAAAAAGGAATATTTATAAAGTCATAAGAGATTAAACCTGAACCTCCAGCAGGAGGTGGAGGAGGTGCTATTCTGGTAGGTTGAGAGGAATGATTCCCGAATACTTTGGGTATGCCACTGGAATTTAAAAAATTTATAAAAATAGATGATAAGGTGAATACAGTTCCATCGGTTGCCCTAAGATAGGATTCTTCAAATATATATCATCAATCTTCTCCGGATTGCCCCATGACGTTCCTCCAATATCCCCATGTCCGGCATGAATGAAAGAGCCTGAACATATATAATAACAAAGTGAAATTAAATCAGTAAACCTCGAATCGGGAGAGAAAATCTACTTATTCCGCCAGGATCCTCATGTGAAGGTACAGGTGGTAACGGACGAGTTGGGTGTTGTATTGTCGGTGGAGGCTTTGGAGTAGGAGGAACATTAGGTGAAGCAGCGCTCTGAGAAACAGAACCAAGCCCTTTTCCATGGACAAAAACACATGATCTCAAGAATGTGCCAAACTTGCGAGTTTTCAAATTCTGCCCTTTCCAAATAACGCCGCTGAAATAGAAGTTCCCTGATGTAAATGAGACAACTTGAAAACTCACGTGTTTTGGGTAACTATAATTTTGTCCCCAATTTGTATAGACATTGCGTTCTCACCCGAATCCATGTGCAACTCTCTCACTTCGGCCATATTGAATTGAGCCTAGCATAAAGATAGAGTATGCAAACAAATATGATATTACTTCTTGTAGGAAGCCTTTCAACTGAGTAAATTTTGGACGTCGATCAGGGTGCACATTCCAACATAAGGATATGATATCATATATTTGATCAGAACAATAGTCTGGCTTCTTCAGCCTCTCTCCTTTATCTAATAGTTTTAGAACCTAAATAATAAAAATAACTACGATAGTTTAGTTGCTCAATACGTCTAGTGCACGGCATCCTATCCAAGGTTCTTCTCCATAACTGAACAACTCCCAAACAGTCACACCGAAAGCCCATACATCAGATGCATGTGAAAATTTTCTCTGTTTTAAAGACTCTGGGGGACACCTAAACAATGCTTCGATAGAATTCTGTTAAAAAAAAAAGCAGTTTTACCAAGAGAATGGAACTCTTTTTTGTGGGCCCATTATATACATTTGCTCATTCTCTTTCAGATTGCGCATCAAGCCGAAGTCACAGATTTTTACGTTCTAACAAAGAACATGCATCAATCAATTATATATCATGGAACTCGATACCTTTTCATCTTTTGTTATAAGAATATTACGAGCAGCCAAATCACGATGAACGCAGTGTTTTGACTCTAAATAAGCCATAGCCTAAAAAATATCATGCTTGCATTCTATTTTGATCAGATTACCTTCACAATTTGAAGACAATAGTCTAGAAGTGTATTTAACAAGAGCACAGGTTTATTGGACTCTCTCAATCTATCCAGCAAAGAACCACCTTCACATAACTCGAAGACCTAAAGTACTCAACTCATATTTATAATTTCCATTTTTGAAAGCTTGAGAGGGGACCCTGTTGTCGCGTCCGGCATTACGTCAACACACGATAAACCGGTTTTACACAGATCTCAAGGAAGAAGCTAAGAAGACAACACCTATTTTTTCAGAAACTACAACATGGAACGAGGAGAGATGAACCAGACACAAATCTGATTAAAAATAAGTGAAAATTACCATTATAGGCGATTGAGAGACAACGCCATAGAGTCTGATGAGGTGTTGATGTTGTAAATTCAGTAGGTGACCAGCTTCTACCTGAAAAAAAACAGAAAGCATTAAGGGAGAATGCTATAATGTATTCACTTTTAAATCTTCCATCACTAATGGGGATACGTCTCTTAGAATCTTCACAGCAACATTTATCTTCTGGCCGTTTGGTGGAGTCCAGACTGCTTTTTTAACTACAGCAAAAGTCCCTTCACCAATAGTTTCCATTAGATGAATCTATGAATTATTTATATGAGAAGAAAATAATAATTAAGCACCTGCTCTTTGGTAATTTCTGATTTATTCATCTCAGCAGCCATAGTAAGAGAATCTCTGTCCGTTTTTACAATAACTGTATTCGACGAAGGAAGATTCCTCCTACTCTGCACCGAGGAGCGTAATCTTTTGATTTCATCAGGTAGCATACCCATGTCCTGAAATCAGAAGGAGTGTGAGGGAAAAAGAGAAGAATGAACAATAAAGCTCGAATGTCGGCTTCTAGTTAGCATAAAACTGTATAAATATATATATGTTCTATATTTTATTGACTGCCTCTATATCACTATAACGACTTTTTATTACCACAACGGCATTCGAGATGATCTTTGGTAGTCCAGATTTTCATACCAACTCACCTTAAACACTTTGTCATTATGAAATGAGAAATGTTGAGCTCTGCGTATTTGTAAGCCAAAAACAATTTGTTGCTGCCATCTTAATAATCCGGCCTCTTTCAGAATATCTACTACAGCTTCTTCCACAGTCACATCATGAGGTTGATGTGTGACCATGATATATGTTAACTGACTGTAAAAGTGGGAAGTTTTTCAATCTCTGATAACAAATTTATATTCAATTAGCTAATTTTTCAAGAATAAAAGAAAAATAAACTGTTCGTCGATGAAGAAATATGATGACAACAGTACGAGTCAGCTTCTCATCGATGAAGCATTGGGAACTATAGATATAATCAAATCGATAACTTTGCTTCTTAGTAAGCACTTATCAACAGTTTATGGGGTTCTCAACGATCAATAAGCTGGCTCATGCATAAGCTAAGATGTTTTACATTTCTTTGTTAATTCTGATTACAGCTTAAACGATATTCTCTGGTTAATGAACATGTACAAAATCTTAGAAATACTAGACATGACGCGTTGCGACGCTGCGCGTATGACTAGAGCATGACTTCAGGGTCAGTAGAAAGCAGACGAACACACAGGCAGACAGGCAGACGGACTGAGATACACACACGCACAAACACAAATACACATACACACGTACACATACAGAAAACAAGCAGATGGATCAAATGGATCGTATTGTGTTGCCTTCTTTGATTCATAAGAGTGAATGTTACTGTTGCTACGTATTAGTGCTTACGACTATTCGAACGCAACAGCTGATGGATTGTTTCGACTAAAGTTCATCATGCGTAATAAAGTGGGTCATCATCCTATCTACGTTGGTCTGACTCACAATTGTCCAAACACTTGCCAAGACTATCACTGCCTAAGGCACAGACATTAAAATCGTAGTTTTTGCGTAGGAGAATTGAAGTGTATATAAGTTGATTCATCAGTGGATGATGACTCGTCTCTTCGGTTTCATGTTTGATATCGAAATATGTTTGTGACATTATGAATTAGCATATCATATCGACTAAAAAATGACGTCACTCACGTGACTAGTGAAGGACTTCATTTCCCTGGATGCAAAGCAGTGATCGGTTGCATTTTTCGACGTTTATTATTTTTATAACTTGGTTGATTATATTTTTACCGCTATTGAAACATACAAGTTTTATTGCTAACTTAACCGAACATTACACGAAACAAATCAAATTTTGAATAAAAATGAGAAAAAGCAATGAAATCAAAAGACAGGTAGGAATTGGATCCTGATTGTCAATAGTACGAGGAGTTTCCGTTCCGTTGCAGGCCGGAAGGGGAATGTTATGTTAGGCAAGACTGGTTCGAAAGACTTTTTCATTTTCCCTTCACTCGTGAGCTTCACAGCACAAAAGTTTATCGTATGTGTACTTCAAGGGTTTGCACATGGAGAAGTTCAATCATATCATAAAACATAAAAAAGGATAAAATAAAAAAAATGTGTTCTATGCGATTGAGGTTGTAGTTTTTGGCACCAAATATCACGAGAGCATTACTCTACTAAAATGTTTATGAAAGACTATATCCTGATGGAGAGTTCATTTTCCATTCTCGGGTTTTTTTTAACAGAAGTATGGTTTGACTAACAACCAATGCCATGTATACAAATGAAAACCAGAATTTTAGATGTTCTTCTGACGTTGAACTGTTATGAACCTACCTGGCTTTACGGCCTCTGAACTACTTCGTAGAGAAGATAAAAATTTCTTCTTTAGACAAAGAATTCTAAAAATTTCCAATCTTCAAGAGTCAGCTCTCTTTTCTTTCAAACGGACGAAAAAGATTCCTTGTGAAGAAAATTCCTTTTTGAACGGCCAATTTTTCTATCCATCCTCCCGCCCATTGTACGATTTATTCGGGAGTAAAATGATCTACAGAACTCGCTGAATATGACTTCGATTGATTGAAAAACTTGAGGCACGTAAACAGACGAGATGATTCAATCGATCAGTTGCTAATTTTTTCTTATATGTGATTAAGATGTGTCAACTTCTTTTCTGACCATCATCGATTTCATTTTTTGCAATGTCATACAACAACCACTATCACCACATCCATCTGTTATCATTCAGCTAAATATCAGTTTTACCTGTTTTAGCATCTTCGAGAAGGCAAGTACTATTGTCACATGGTCATTCGTAGATGAAATATCTTTGGGTTCATTCATAATCAAAATAATTTTATTTTGCAAATTGCTTTATACCTATTCCAGACTGCTATCTAATTCAATCATTTAAGCCGAGCTCGAAAACTGTTCATTTCCTGTTCTTAGAAATTTCCTGAATTTTCTCTTTTAACAGTTTCTTGTACATTTTTTCATATTTTTAATCAATCAAGCGATTGTTTTCTTACATTTTAGACAGTTTGTCCCACTAAAATTGACATTTTTCTCCAATTAACGTTCATCTTTCGTTTATGAGAAACTGCTTTGAAGTGATAAAAGCAACCAAAGGTTTTACTTTTACAAGAAAGCCCATGCGGATCAAAATGTTTTCGGAATGCAACGTCTGATTAACTGGTCATTGATTAACTGTAAAAAAAAAAGTTTCGTTTGAAAAATCCATCTTGTAAGAAGGATTCTGCAAATGATCAATGTGGATGATAAGCTTGTTGTTATGAGAATGATCACTTAAATGATTTTATATGTTGATTAGAGTGTAATTTTCATGATTTACAAGATTTTTTTGTCTCCACCCTACTTAAACCCTCCGATTCTTTCATTTCAACATCACATCATTTGATTTTTTGAGTTTCATTCTTTTCTCTCATATGAGAATGTTCTTTTGAATTTTTGAGGTGAATATTCGAATTTAGATACAAAATTCAATGAAAAAGGGCAAATAAGCAAACATTAAATGGTTAGTTCTTTGTAATTTGTGAACTAGATGCGTGCTCTAAGATGTCCAATATTAGAATGATCTGATCTTTTTTCTTCTATTTTCTATCTCTTTTTTTTTAAAATACAGTTCATTTATTGAGATAGTGGGCACCAAAGTCGGAAAAAGAGACTGCAAGAAACATGCCAAGATGCAAAGAGAAGTCAAAGATTTCATTTCCATTTTAGAGAGAAATAAGAGAAATGCAAGAGACAGGGCGCGCCTACGTAATTGCTATAACCGGTAATTTTTTTCTTTAAAAAGAAATACGATCATTTCACGTATCTGATTCACTTTATGTACGTGTGTAATGAAAGAAATTTCATGATTTTGTATTACGTAAGTCTTCTCATTTTTGTTTCCTTTTTCGGGATTGAAAGAAGAATATTCATTATCTGATGCAGTTTATGAACTCCACGTTTGTTGTAGTCAGAATCATCATGCTGTTCTAAGAAAGCAGATGAAATGATGTGTGTGAATAAGAAGGTGAATGAGAAGCAGAATAAGAGAATGAGCAGAAACGAAAAAAATGCAACCGCTGCAAGCGCCCAAGTTAATTGAAATGTACTTTTGCACAAATGACGTGAAAGTATTGATATGCTAATTGAAGCACGTTAACCTAGTTTCCTTAATCTGGTAAAAAAACAGTCTGATTATTGTGAGATATTGAATTGAATAGATATTTCAAGAAATATTTTTACGGAAACAGCGTCGACAAGTAATGATCTCTTGAAGATAGGTCGATTTCTCATCATCACACGCCTACTTTCATTAAATGAAAATCTTTCGTTAGCAGACCTTTTGTTTTTTTTAACATGTCGTATTTCGTGATATTATACACAAAAGAATGTAATCCAGTTATTAATTTCAGTATATTGTTATAGAGCATGGATTCAGTTCCTCAGTTACGTGCAGTGCCCATCAGGGAAAAGAAACTTGTCTACAGGTATTTTTCTGCACAAATTAATATATTCGCATCTAAGTTCTTTTGCTTTATCTAAGTCAAAACATGAATTGAATGAATATAAAAGATTAATCTGCTTATTATGCTCTTTATGAATGAATCGTACATCAATGAGAAAACGACATGTTTTCATAGTAACTTTCCTTGTCTCGACTGTATTTTGAGCAAAAAAAAGCGTGCGCTTTCACTTTATTCCCATCAATTTAAACAAGAGAAATCTATTTAAAATATTTTGAAGAAGTTCATTAGAGATCTATTTTTTCTTCAACACAATGAACAGACTCTTTCTAATTTCCGATAGGACTCGTTCCATTTACTGACAGAAAGCTTACGAGATGTTACTAAGACCGAGCATTGCTCATGTCAACTTCAAAACAACTCGAAAGTTCTTTCTTTATCTTTTTTGATGAATTTCGTTGCTTATTCGAGAGTTTACCGCATTCTGAACTCGAAGTTATTGATTCCTCAAGTCTATTATGGTCTAATTCCAAACGTTTTTTGAACTTCCTGCCGTGTTTCTTCTCCTCAACACTTTCTTTGTGTTGGCAAAACAGAAAATCATTTTTTGAAGCTTCAGCATTTCAGCCATTTTCTTTTAACTGCAATACTCCTTTCTTCTGTGTAGTTATAGAATTTCCTTTTGAGAAATGATATTCAATCTGTTTGATTTATCATGTAGCATCGGAAAACAAAAGAAATATTCTGAAAATTATCTGAGTTTTTCCAGACTCTTGATGATTTTTTTCTTTTCATTTCTACAATTTCCAACTTGTTTCTCTAGAAATTCTTTCCCCTCTCACTTTCTGTGTGCTTTGCTAACAAAAAAAAACTTCTTTCGAGCTCTTTCCGGACATCCGATTTCCATATTTTACCTTTCTTCCTCCATCACACATTTCTCGGAGTTTATACATATTTTAGTAATTTCTGAGTATTCAAGACAAACCAAGTTGATTCCCTGAGTTTTAAGTTGTTCGTTTCTCGCGTTTGCCCAGTTTATATATAATTTTTTTCTTCCATTTTGGTCGTTCGTTTTGTCATTTCATACAACCTAATTGCATTGTCTTCATATCTTTAGTGAGCTCACTATTATTTCACTTGAAAAAAAGCATATCAAACTTTTTTTTTTATTAATTTATTGATGAATTAAGATATTTTTATTGCATATTGATGCTTCTTCTTCTATTCTTCAAAAAAAACGAACAATCACAACAAGCAACTTGTTATCGTTTGCAGAGAAAGAGAGAACTCTTTTTCTTATGCTGTTTTTCTAATCACTTCTTCACATAATACCGATAGAGATAGAAGAAAATGAGAGGGGATAAGAAAAACAGAGTGAGGAAACGAGATAGATTCGGAGGTAACTGCAGAGTGATGGGAGGGGGGAGATACAACATCACAAATGACAAGGAGGCTTGTTGAAGACCCACTGTGCTCATTGAAAGTTGATCGCGTTTCCATTCTGTTTTCTTACAATCTCGATATTTAAGGAAATTTCTATTCCTGAGTAATTTGAAGCAGATTGAAATAAAAAAAATTTGGTTTCATAAGTTGTTTGATCTTTTTATCCGCTTGTAGAGCGAGAGATGCAGAGACTGCAAGAGAGAGGAAGAGAAGGAGGGTGGAAGATAAAAAAACTTTTCCATTATGGATTGGGGACTAGCTGTTCGTCATCATTCATTGAGCTTAGGGAGTAAAAAAACCTTTTTAGGCCGATAATTCCATTAAAACAAATTGTTTTTTTTCTTTCATCCAATTCTCAAATAATTCAGCTAATGTGATCTTTGTTTTTTTTTCGGAGATATTCACACACCTTTTTATCACATAAAGAGTTGCTTGAGCCTGATTGTGATTTTGAGCTTCTTTTTCGAAGAATACATCGTTCATCTTCATATTTCCTTTGAGATCCTGATTTATTTGTTATTCTGAATGGTTCACAATATTCATTTCTTCCTATTCAGTTTTTTTTACAAATTTTTTTCTCCGAAACATTGCAGACCGACAATTGATTCGCAATTCTTCTAACCAGCTATAAAAGAAATGCAATTACCTTAAGCTTAGCTTCTATGAAAGCTCTACTAGTTATTCTCACAAGAAGCTTGAAACTATCAACAAATATTCAATGCAAATGTGCTGTGTTCCATTGTTTTTAACATCAGTTCGGTATGTTTCATTATTGGAGTGATAACTGTAAACTTCCATAAGTCGCTCTAGGTTTGCTATCCATGAGCAAAACCTATAATCCTCAATTTTATATTCCTTTTGTTGACTTACTACAGATAATTCACTTATCATCATTCACAAATTGTAATCGATTGAAGAGTCAAAAATTTGAAGAAAAAAATGTATAGATGACTATGAGAGCAACTACTACTAGCCATCCTTGATTATTCTTCGATTTTTGAACTTCTGTGCTTTGAATAAAAGAATTTTTTGTAAAAAAACAAATTAATCTTGTCATAAGCTCTCCTAACTATTCACTTAGTTCATCTATTTAATAAATAAATTGGTTTAAAGATATCTGAGAGCACAATCAGCTGATTCTTTATTGACATTCTCAAAATCATCCTAGCTCGTTCTCCCCCCCCCCTACCGGAACATGTGATGTCCAGAAGTAGAGCGTGAGTTTTTAAGAAATAGATATTTCCAACCTATAAATTCCATTTCTTGGATAATGTTTAGCTTATCCTTCATTTCACAAGACATCTTCGCTCTTTCATTAGACTTTGGCATCCTTCAAATCGTTTTGTCGCTTCATGTATAACAAATCTTCCGTTCCGTGTGTTTTAAACAAACACGAAATACTTGTCTGTTCTCAATGTGCGCTTAGTTCAAAAATTAAAAATAAAATAATATAACAAAAGAAAATACACATCGACGTTATTCTCTTCTTAAAATGATCTCATTGCAGTAGTTCAACATCTCGACTTTTTGCCCAACGTAAGGCAATAACAGAAGAGGTTCGTTCGATTTACCTTCTTGTTTTTACAAAAATGAATGATCAAGGATTCTCTCTCACTCATTAAGGGCATATATCATTAGTAGTTCAGTTTTTATTTTGATAAAATCAATAATATAATATGTTTTTACATTTTTATTACTCATCTTCTGAGTAGATCAAAAGCAGATTCAAATTGACCTTTCGTCTTATAAATCGAGAAACAATCAAATAAGCCATTGCAGCATAATATCACATGAATATTATAAATGAAAAATAAATAAAATTTGTCATGTATAGTAATAAATGAAACTTTCATTTCTAGCCTACCGAAGAAATTCCTAAGAGATTTGCTTCTACGGAAGGCCGATTCAGTATCATCGATGAGCATTCAAAGGACAGCGAGAGTGACTCGGACACTGATGCTCCACTACCGAACTGTGAGTTTAATTTTGAACACATAGTTAGCGTAACAAAAAATGGATGACTTAATATCTACAGCACTGGCATGATCACATTAGATTGAACAAGATAATTCAATAAAAAACATTGTTGCACTTCTACCACGTTTGCATTGTCATTTACAATTATGCTAATTCGGAAAACTAACGTGAAGTTCACGCGAGGTCGAAGTTCATTTTGAAACTGCTTAGGCATTGAACGGTTGATTACTTCACACCCTCTCTTCTCATTTTCGTTTTTTTCCGAACCTTCCCTATACGACGGTTGCAATTGTCCTCTGTGCTAGTTGTTGTGAGATCCAGTTAAGAAAGAAAATATTTTCTTTTTGTTCAAAATTCATTGCAAAAGCTATTTTTGTTGTAGAAAAGATGTGAAATTTATCCACATACACACCCAGACATTTACCAGATGTACGTGATTCATCTGGATGTCTTCAGATATGTGCAATTGTTTTTTTGTATTCATTTCGTGATTTTCATCATACAATCCCACAAGTTCTCAATGTTATGGACATTAGATGTTTGATATTATTTTAATTTTGTAAAAAGTGAAATTCAATGATGTGACATAGCCAAAGGACAATTAAAACTTTAATTAAACTATCACGTCACTTCAATTTGAAAACATTTTTGGTTCGTTCTCGGTTCATTAATAGTCTTTTCAAATCTCTCCTTATGGGCATGTTGAAGTGAATTTTTCTTTTTTTTTCTCCTTTCCTAATTCTGATTTTTCATTTTCTTATTCATTTTGCAAGTATTTTCTAGGAAAGTGCCGTTTGGCTTTTCTTTCCGAATTTGAAGAAATTTCATTTCAAAAATCACTTTTTGTTCCCTTTTTCTGTATGTCGTTTCTCCATCTCTCCTTCTCTCTTGACGGATCAAACTTTTAAGATTAGCTGTTTGGTTGCTGAAAAAACACATTATCATTTGGAATTATTTGAAAAAACAAAGTACGAATCAGGCAATTCTGTGCAACAAATATCCATTTAAACAATAGCTGGTTCGTCTATCTGTTTTTCAGTCATTGTTTATTAAAATAATAATTAATGGAAGAAGAACGATTAAGACGATTTCCAATACACATTTGTGAACATTCATCAGATGCAAATCGGATTTTTAAAATTGAAAAAGAGAAATAAGAGAGGAAAAAGATATAAATTTTCTCTCACTCTCTTTTTTCTTCATCTTTTAATCGTCTTTACTTTCATTGAATATTTTTGGCAAACAATTTCCTCAATTGATTATTATCTTATCGCTGATAACGTATTCTGTGAAAGAAAGTATTCTTAAACAAATTGAATTTTAATCTTTTCATGAACTGTCAGACGATTAAAGAAAAAGCTGTTTGAAGCTTATTCTGTCATATTTTTGAGCTTAAACGCCACTAAATCAGATTTATAAAGGCGTGAAGAAAGTACTATGACATTTAAGATCTCTCAAGTATATATTACGTCTTAGATTAAAAATAATATCATTGAATGTATGGGATATGTGCATTTTATATAATCATTAAACATCTGTAATGAAATGTCGGAAGTGAAGGTCAGAATGTTGCGCTCAACAACTTTTCATCTTCACCCCCTTGACATAAGAAGCCATTCAGTTCAAGCAATAGTTACTAGTCGTTTTTTCAATTGCTCTCGCTCATTTAAAAATGAAGTTCATTTTGCTCAAATGAAAATTGACTATAGGTTGAAGGGAGGGGGGAGGCTTTTAGAAGCGTAGTAACGAGATTATTTTTGGATTCAAATGAAAGTGAATGATTTGTGATCGGAAAAGGACTGTTTATTCGATATTTCTTCATGATAAATCACTTGGCTATCAGTGAATTCTCGACAAAAAAGGTTCTTCTTTGATTATAAATGTGAATGGACAACCTTTTCGCGATAGAATGACTGCAAAACATAATTTTTAAAGAAAAAACATGCTTAAGTATGCAACCTCTCAACTGTGCTACGATGAGGAAAAATGAATTTATGATGCTCAGTCAACGTCACACGTGAAAGATATACGCTAATACGGGTGAGATGCGCTAAAACACTTAATATGCTAATTATGAGGGGGAATTAAGTAACGATTTACCTCCGATATGAAAAAATGTTTATATATGAATGATAAAAATGGAAACAAGCTCTGATATTACCCACAACAATACAGTCATCACTTTTGAATGATTAATAAATTCCTTTTTTTCTCTGTCTCTCTTTAAAGTAGCTCGATATGTTTATAGTACTTTAACCGCTGCTCTCCTACTGTTCGACCACTACCAAATATGAATCTCATCACCTTTCGCACTTTATAATTTATTTTTTGTCCTCCTCTTCTTCAACCATATCAATTGAATATTCTTTTATCTGGTACCTATTAAGAAACACATCTACTCAACCAATTAAAGTACTTCTCTTTTTCTCTTTACTACTCTGACGATCTCATGCATCTATTTCTCTCTCTCTCTTTCTCATTTTTATCTTTTTCACCTCTCTTACTATGTAACACATTGTGTTCTCCTCCCATGGCTTTTGACTTCTACATTCACTCTCTCAATCCATTATCTCTTCATTCTCTCTCTCTTTCTCATGTTCCTCTCTCACGTTTCCACAATCGCAGCCTAGGGCTAACCACTATCGACAACGTCAGTCAGTCGAAGCTACCAGGACAAACCATTCCAGCCCATCAACGGCAGCTTCCCTTTCTTTCTCTGCTTTAACTTCCACTTCTTTCGACAAATATTCAGGACTGATCAGTCTTGATCTTGACCATTCATTCAGTCTAATTTTTTCCTTCACAGAAAAAAAGTGACTTCTCATTTTCATCTGGTGAATGAAAAATATTTTTTGTTGAACAAGCCTAGTTAATCTTCTGGAAAAAATGATCAAACGCGGTCCTACTCGTAAGTTTATTAAACAGATTTTTCCATGATTCACTTATTGATTCGAGTTGATTGTTGATATAATCAGACAACAGTTGTAGTTTATTAATCCAATGAATTTCTTTTGATCGACCCATAACGTTCTAAGGTATGAACATGGACAAGTACAGTTTTTTGAAATAATCATACTAGATCATACTAGATAGCTCTAGTATTAGCTTCATTCAAGTTGATGAATGTCTTGTTCAGCAATTTCATGAAATATTTGAGAAATTGTCTTCCTCGCTATCTGTAATTAGCTAATTGAATTATTTTTTCTTGGGCAATCGGAAGGTTGTATCGAAAACTGATCGAAAAAATGAAGGAGCTAATCGGATTTCTTTGCTTGTAAAGAAAAATGATTAAAAACGGAAATGATGGACGACGGACAAGATGAAAAGCAGAACTTCATCCTTTTACGACGTCATAACTTCCTTTGGAACTTGTTTTTGAGCTTCTATCTTTTTCTCTCTAACTCTCTGTTTCTTTTCTTCTTTGTCCCTCTTGTACTTCAACTTGTGTTCCTCTTTATCTTTGTTTCCACTCTACAACTACTCCTTCATATCCTTCAATATCTGCTTTTGACGTCAAAATCACAATATCTCCTGATGAAAAGCTGTAAGAGAGAAATCATTTGAAAATACACGAAAAGTTTCTCCTAAATTCTGTTTACAATTCTCATCTACTTATCACCTCTGATAACGACTGTTTTGTATGTGTTTTCACTTCAATCTCCAACATTTTTTCTGAGATTAAGAGCGACAAATGACAGAAAAAATGAGAGCATTTTGACATCTGACACATCGGAATCTTTCCAATAATTTTTTCAACCAAATTTAGAATAATTCCGAGAAATTGATAAATGACCATGGAGCATATGAATCATTTAGAGCACATAGATAAATCAAAGCCAATGTTACTAACAGAAAAAGATAAAAAAGTGCTGAACTTTAGACATTTTGGCACATAGTCTGTTTGAAATTCTCATTCTCTTCAAGTTCAGAGCTCTTGGCTCAATCAGCTGATGCTCTTACTCATTATCTATGAGAGATAGGCACGTGCAAATGATATGAGATAAAAACGATTGAAAAGCTCTATCTTTAAAAATCTCATTGTGTTTTCAGTTGTTTCTGTGTACTTTTTTGTTATTGCAACTATTTATTGTTCTACACAGAGAACGTTTGCTCCATAATTCATTAATTTGCGTTTCATGAGCATTGTTTCACTATCCTCTGCTCACATCGTCTCTATTTCATCTTTGAGTGAAGGAGCCTTCACGGCGCCGATCTGTAAGCACCTCACATCGATACAGAGAAAAAAAAACAAAAAAAGGGAATAAGAAGTGAACTCTCATAATTCTTTGTTCATCTCACGGTATTCAATTTTTTTGTTTTTCTCTTAATTTCTGAAAAAAAAAATGCCTCAGGACATTGAACGTGAACGTATTCAGTTTCCATACACATTTGTCTATTTTTTCTTCAATTTAAAAAAAAAAAGAATCTTTTTGTTTTTTGGCTGTGAAACCTGGAAAAAAGAAAACATTGAGCTTGTGGAATGATTATTGAAAAAAGAAGAAAAATAAGAATGATATTTAAGGAAATTATTTTTTTTGTTTAGTTCAACAACAACGTTACCTTCAACCCAACTTTTCGAAATCTGTTGATTATTCCCACACGCAGGGAGCGATGGCAGCATCTCGATTTAGGGTACGACAGTTTTTTTTTATTTCGTTCTCTGAACACACAAACACAATACAACAAGAAGTATTTTCAGATTGTTCCGGTTGAAAGCAAATATAAGCGAGGTCGATGGAATTGTTTTGATTATTATGAAAAAGATGCCATTTGCTCAAAAAGTCCTAAAATGTCGTGTCCAGGACCTTCGCCATTCAAACCGGTTACTCCCAAAAATGGTAAATATGCCAAAGTTCACAGTTTAATTTCTATTTGTGCTCACAAAAATTTGCATAAGCCTTGATTTGCAAGATTAAATAGTTTAAAGTCAGCAGCACAGCGTCATCAATGGACGAGAGGGTGGTAAACATGAAAAATGATTTTTATTGTTTCCCATTTGTTCACGTGAAATACAAGTTGCACGCTTTTCGTGCTAGAGGACTCCCGTTATTTACAAATATTAGAAATCAAAAAATTCGTAGTTACTTCTGAAATTTGATTCAGAAGGTTATTAAGTAGATTAATGACCGGTCATTCATTTGTTTCTCCTAATAATGGGAAATGTTAGCTCCGCCTCTGGTGATCGCTCGTTTCCGGTCTAATTTAGGAGAAAAACACGTGGTTACTGCTTTTATTCTTAAAGAATTTTTTCTTAACGGAGCCATTTCATTGTAGAACATACAAACACCAGACATCTGGTGAATGATTTTTTCTCTCCTTTATTGTTCTCAAACAAAATTCCTCATTCAGAGCTGGTGCATGTAACAATTTAATACCTTCTACTTGGTCATAACGATTTGATCCGTTTTGCAAAAAACATTTATTAACCCAATCATTGCTTTCGTAGTTTATAGTATGAGCCACTTATTATTCGTTTTTATAGATCGATCCGTGCGCTCATTGACAGAAATGGCTCCACCAGCTACAGCTCCAGCTACTCAGGTTAATCTTACTTAAATGAATGCTTGTATTTATGTTATCATTAACCGCTTGGCTTTTAATTTTACCCAACAATCTTCAATGTTTCAATTATCCCTTGTTGCAGCAAGTTACTTTCAATTTCGACATATCAAGTGATAGTGATAGAGAAAATTCTGAACCAAATTTTTCCCAAGTAATTGCTATTGTGAACTGTGACAGTCCATTTATATATTTAATATAATTTAAGTCTCAACGTGGATTTATGAACGGAGATTCGAAACTTATCATAGAACCTCCGTGTAACAAGCCTAGTGTACTTAACACAATGACAATCACTTCTAGCAACAGTAAAAACATTCGTATGTCTTGAACTTCTTTAAATGAAAATAGATCTCTTCATTTACAGCATCCTCTCAAACTGAATTATCTGAGGGACGTATGACTCCTACTGAAATTCTGCAGAATGGACTTGAGACAACACTGAAAACTTCAGAAATTAAAATTGAATCGGAGGAAGAATTACAAACAACAAGGTCAGTTCCTCTTCTCGAAATTTCATGCCCATGGCAATAGGGGAGCTGGGGCTGTCAGGTGATCTCATCAAAAACCAAAGTCTTGATATTCTAGCTACTCGTTTTCTCACCTCATATCCATACTCATTAAAGTTTTGAAAAATCATAGGTATAACGGGAACTTGTTGAATATCACGTACAGTGATGTCATATTTCATAACCTCCAATTAATTTGCTACTTCCATACATGGTGCGAACATTGTGCGATTAATCGTTATAATCCGCTTAGGCTCTTTGACTTTTTTTTAAAAATTGAAAAATGAGTTCTTTTGTTAAAGAGATCTTTGATAGATTCATACACGGTTTATATCTGTGGTTGTTATTTAGTAACTTGCTCTAATATCTGTTTAACTCAATGTCTCTCAGTATACTTCAGACAATATCCGTCTATCTCTCTAGGTTGAGCAGAAGCCAATATTAATGATTGCACTAACATATATCTGAATTTAAATATAATAGAAGAGATCTTTAGAATATATGTAACACCAACGATGAAACAGCTGGCTATCCGCGTGCCTTCCCATCCTCATTCTCCCATTGTGTTTTTTCTCTCTTCGTCATTATCTTAGTCTTCTCATGAAAGAATGGTTGAAAAGTTAAATGTTCGAGAATTGTTTTAAACCTTTTTTTTTGTATTCCAAAGAGTGGGAAAAAGACGTAAAGGGAGAGCAAGAGAGAGAACGTTGTATCCAAAAATAGTATGTAACAGATCCATTTGTGTATTTAAGTTAAAGTTTATAATTTAGACAAAATAGAATTGCATTTAATTTTGGATTTTTCCAAATTGAAACATGTTTTAACTTGTGAGATACAACACATAGAACAATATCAAAAAGAGAATCATCCGATTTTTTTTGAAATCTTTTTTTTTCTCTCTTGCTTTTCTTTTTCTTCTTCTCCTCCTCCTCGTTCTTAAACTTTCCATTATTGAGATCAGTTTGTTTCCTTTACATCTACTTCTAAATCTCAAATAAAGCTGATTACGGTATATTTGATTATCTCTTCCTCATCCTCAACATCTTTTTTTTTTACTAAATGAGATAAGGACGATAACTTTTGAAAACAGTTTGGTCTTTCTCTGACTTCTGATACTTCTGGTTAGACAGTTCCGATAATGTTTGTGTCTGCTCAACTCGACTGAGCTCCGACTTGATTGCCTTTCTCTCCAAGTTTCCTTTTTTTCTTAATATCTCTCGAAAAAGTTTGTTCAGAAACTATTTCTAATGAAGAATGTTTTCTTTCACCTCTTCGTGAAAGTTATCTCAAATTACCCTATTGTCTCACTTATTTTTTTTTTCATCTAATTCTCTCTGTGAACATTATCCTTTTCTCTCTCTCTCTCTCTTCCGGACTAAAAGAGATACCTTTTGATGTTTCCCTTTTGCCCCCAAAAGCTATTTCCTTTAGGTCTTAGTCAAACTACCCTTGATCTTCGTCTCATTACCTCAGTCATCTCAAGAACATTGCTGTCTGTCAAGAGTCTAACTTTTTTATTTATATGAGAAGCTTAATACTATACAAAGAATAATTCATATTTAACTACATTATTGTTGTCTATTCGGGAATTTGTTATGTTCCGTTGAAGACAAAATCTTTCTTGGTTCTCTTTGTTTCATTTATTTGCAGAAATCATTCTAGTAATGATAGGCCAGATGATTCTAACAGTTCTTTCCATATTCTCATTTTTGTTTCCATTTTTCATCGTTGTCTTTTACATATTTTTCATCATTTTTATTGAATTCTCAGTGATGCGTTAGCAAGCAAAACGTTTGACAAATCATATCAATCTATTCGAACTGGGTTTCAAATCATTTGAACAGTAGTTTTGCTTCTTTGAATTTTATGTAAATATCATTTTTTATGCACAGTTCAAACAACCCATAAATAGAAAATAAAATAACAGATATGGTCGTAGAAGTATAGAGATAGAGAGAGAGATAGCAAGAGAGAGGGAGAGAGAGAGAGAAAGAGAGAGAGAAACTCGAGTAACAAAAAATCTGTGGCATTGTCTTCTCTGATCGGTACGCTTTATCAAATCAATTTACAAAATTTTTTCTTCTTGTTCATTGCTGTTCAACTACAGAATCTCCTCTCTTAATCGAAAAATATCTTTTGCCTTTTTCTATTTTTCTTGTGTTCTCGTTAGATCTCCCATCATCATTATATCTCTACCTACTTACGCACAACAGAACAGCCAGCTTTGTTTAAGCTTTGACTTTCCATAGTCAACTTTAAGATCTGCTCGCAGACTTCTTGGCTAGCTAGCTTTGTCCTTCTCACGGCAACATCGTCTTTCTAAATGCGTTGATTTGTACCGTTTCGTAAGCGCTCGCCGTCACAAATCATTTCCCATTTTATTTCTTTACAATATGTATTTTCTACTTTCAATCTTCGTCTATTGAGTTTCTTATTTTGAACAAAAAAGTAATATGCTTAATCTATTAGGTCTTCTTCAAATCATAGATGACGTCATTATCTTCTCATTCGGCCTGGAGATTGAATAATCTTTTCCTTCAAGCCAAACCTGAAGGTCCGCCATTCCCGCGAAAACGGTGAGTTTCAGTTACATATTGAAACAAACGCAGACACAATCGTACTGAAAACGCCCTTATCTTATTGATTCAATTTTTAGCGAACTTTGATTTTCGAATTTGTTAAAAGAAAGCTTATAAATTATGAAAAAGCTCATATTTTCCGTTTTCCAGCCCACATTTTCTTTTTTTTTTCCTTCCTAAACCATCTTTCTATCAATCAGTAGTCCCTATGGATTTCTTACACTTTAAATTTTTCCATTTCGAAAAATTTCCATTCCTTATATATTTGAGTACACCAGTCATCGGAACTAATTTTTATGCTAATTTCACGTTAATCACGTGATAGTGGCGAATGAGTTTGCACTAACGTAAAATGAAATTTTCATTTTGTGCTCCCAAAGAAATAATGAGCGGTTGGTCGTAGCCTGCTTCATGAGTGAATATCTTTCTTACTCTAGACTACTAGTAAAGACTAATTGGCTTCTTTGCTTTTCAAATCAAATATTATCATCCTACAAATGTTTTCTAACCTACAATACAATATAGATGTATATTGTTATATCAAAATGTTTAAATAGACAAAGAAATAAATCTATTTTAAACAAAAAAAAAGAAAACAAAGTAAGAAGCTGCGAAGCTTTTTTTTGTGCTTTGTGTTCATGCGTTTTTAGAATTTTCACCCATTTATTTCCATAGTTATTCCATTGAGAATTGGCTCTAAAAAGATGTTTGGCTTGTGAGAAATCGTTATTTTTGAGATTGAATATCTTGAAGACGGTCGAAGCTTTTATCTGATGATTCAGCCTCTAATCTGTGACCTTCTATTAGCTTTTGAACAAAAAATAAAATTCAGTTTTTTTATATTTTAGATTAACAACAAAACTATATATAATAGAGAAACAAAAATTGTGTGCTCTGTGTCGCGTCTATATCTGTTTCTCTTCGGTACATTCGTTATTTGATACATCATTCTCTATCATGTTGTCATTCCTATTCATGTTCCTACAAATTCAATCTTTTTTTTTGTTCATTTTCTGCTTCAAGATGGAAATATGAAAAACATAGACTGTGCTTGACCAATATGTTCGTTCACCTGTTGTTTTGCTATTGAAAATGCTCTAAGAGAAAGAGAGAGTGGAAGATAGAGAGACAGCGAGAGGTACAATGTGTGAGCTGTTCATCAAAGAAATAAGAAACATATAACACTTTGATTCTGCTTTTTTTTTCAACAAACTTATAAAGTTTCGTAGTTAGGTGCTTGGTGCTCATTAATCTGTTCGAATTCATGTCAGGGTCAAGTCAAAACGAAACTCCAAATAGCTCACAGAGCAATATTAAGCTGTGGTTGCTTAGCGACGGAAGAACAACACGTCACAAACCTTTCGCGTGTTGTTTTTTCTTGCATGCAACTGAATCATATCGAGTGACTGTTTTTCTTCATCAATTTTGTTTTTTTTTTCGAATGAAGAATGCAAGAGTTCTCTTTGTTCTTGGAAAAAATCAGAGAGTGAACTTCACATGAAAGGAGTTAGTGGAAACTTCAATTCAATTAATTGTCTTTAGTATGATAGCCTTTGTGTTTTTGGAAGAAAAAAACGTAAAAAGAGAAACAGAAAGAAAGGGAAGAGAAAGTATGAGAGAGAGAGATTGAGAGAGAGATGAAGAAAATGATAGAGAGAGAGAGAGGAAGAGAGAGAAAAAAAAGAGATGTCGGGAGTGTTTTGGCGATTCGAATGTTGTTATGTCGTTGCTTCTATTGCTTACTGGCTGACTGAGACTACTAGTAGGCTTCCCATGTGCAGTTCTTTTGCTTATGTTACTGAGACATCAACAGCTGAACTCATATTGTTTATTTCGAATGTCTTTATTAAGAACAATAAGATTATATTTGTATCGTTTTTACTTTCTTATTTTACTTTTCTCTCTCTCTGTGTCCATTTTCTCGCTCCCCTCCGCCAAACTTATCTATCTCTTATACTTCTCTCTCTCACTTTTCCTATTTTTTATTTCTTAAACTTAAAATAACAATATTTTTTTTGTCATTTGACCGACAATTCATTTCAACATTCAAAAGCACATTGATATCAGAGAAAAAAAGTTTTTTTTTCGATCATTTCTCATCGAACGGACGTCTTGTTTCTCAACGATTATTACGATTTTTATATTTTGAATATTAGAATTGAATGAAATGTATTTGGATTGATTGCATAAATTCATTTTCTCACCATCATCATCTCAAACATTCAGTTTGTTCGCATTTTTTCCTATTTTACACCAAAAAAGGAAAAAGAAAAAATTCTTTTGGGCAAAAAGAAAAAAAAACCAAATATGTTCATAATATGCTGAGACAAGTTCATCCACTTTTCTTGAATTGTTTTTCAAAAATATAGACAAATGCCCTCTTATTTTGTTCTTTCTCTTCCTCTT